TGTCTTAAGTCTCACCCTTTCCGCATAAGCCCTGTCCCCGCCTTCCCTCTAGAGAAAAGCTCAGGTTGGCCATCGGAGCGATGGATGGCTCTCAAGAGTCTCCCCTAGGAAGTGCGGACATGGCACCATCTGACCCTGACAGCAATCGTTGCAGTGCCAAGGGGCTCACAGGCGGCACTGCTTCCGGCTGCTGCACTCAGGAGAATGGTTTCCTTTAGAAAAGAATAATAGATAACTGACACATATTCTGTCCTTTCTATATGTCAGGCATTAGTCTAAGCACTTTACATGTCATTTATCTTCATGACAACGCTTACAACTGGGGACTGTTAAGACTTTGACTTTACAACTAAGAAAACTGAGGTTCAGAGAGGTTAAAGTGACACAACCGGTAAGTGGCAGACTTAGTATTTGAATTCAGACAGTCTGGGATCCGAGTCTGGGTGCCAAGCCAATGAAACAGAAGTGCAGTCAATTCACTAAGGCCCTGCGCCTCCCCAGCATCAATCACCCAGTCTCAGTCTGGCGGAGTCATACCCTTTTCAGGCAGAGGGAGAGCGGCTGCCGAGTAGTGTTCTCACGAGGAACACCGAGCCTTTCCTCTTTGTTGAAGAGGGGCTGGAGGCCAGCATCCTTTCACAATGAGGAGATCAACAGGCAGATAAATTTGTGCTTTGGCCTTGGTCATTCTCTGACCAAGGGGCATTTCCAGAGCCAAGGCAGGATGTGATAGAAAAACCAGACCTCACTCATCTCAGCCTGGGGGGCCTGGCATAAAACAGGCCCTCATACATGGAAGAAAGTATCATGACATAGTAACATCACACCAGCTACAGTATGTAGTGAACTGCCCTTCTCCTGACCTTTCCCAGGAAGGAACAGGGCCTCCTGCAATAAGTCATATGCCAATGGCATTGGGGAGCAGAGATTCAGAGGCGAGTGCAACCGCAAAGCTAAGTCAGACAGGGAATGAATAGTTATTGGCCTCTAGTTTGCAGAATGATAGAAGCTCAGGGCTCAGAAAGATGTTAAAGGTTATCATTTACCTTTAACATTTACCAGCTACCTTCCACAGCCTGATTCCCCTAATACAGCTCTGCCAAGCACATGCCCAGCCTCTGCTTGAATATGTCCACTGACAGGGACCTCACTACCAAACGAAGTTCAGTTCTGTATGGCTCTGTTATAAATTTGGACTTTTGCTGAGGGAAAATCTATGTTCCTGCAGCTTCCAATAATTGGGTCTAATTCGACCTGTAGGATGCTAGAGAAAAAGTCAGCTCTCTCTTCCACACAACGGCCCTGGAACAATTTGAAGTAAATGATCCCGCCCCCCTGAGTTATCCCTCTTGAGGCTATATACTTACAGGTGCTTGAATTGTGCCTCTTTTCACATGGTTTCCAGACCCGTTGTCAGGTTTGTGTGCACTTAGAGCTCTCCAGTCACGGAGCTAGGCCACCGCACAGAGCGCCAGCTCATGTCAGAGCAGAGCCATCCTTTCCCTAATATGAGAATTTAAATGTCTCTAATGAATTCCTAGGATCAGAAAGTAGTACTCTGAGTCCCAAGGGGTTTCAGGGCTTTTCAGTGAGTTTGTTTTTAGTCAGATGGGGGCCGGGGTGGGGAGAATTAGGTTTCTGTGGTTGGGAGAGAAAGTAGCTGTATATTTTTGAATGCTTATTACATCCCGCATACTGTGCTAAACACGTAACATGGATTGTCTCATTTAATCTACTCAATACATCTTGTAGAGGGTACTATCATGATGCCTATTTCACAGCTGAAAAAACTGAGGCTTAGAGTAGCTCAGAGTTTTCCCAGGCTAGGGAGTGTGTGCTGACTCAGGCCAGTTATTAACAGGGTGCAGCAGGTGAAGATTTTGGGCTTCAACAAAAAGCGGCATCCGGGCTGTGATTGTGTTTCAATAAAGACAAGTACAACAGTGCAGAGTGGGCGTTACAGGTGACAACAGGACTTCTAAGACCCTGAAGACGAGAGGGAGAAAGCCATGCATGCGCGGCACAGAAGGGTATGTTGTGCAGGGGAGTCATAACAGTAACAATTACCATTTGTTAAATGAGTACTCAACCAGGCGTTTTGCATACACGATCTCCTTTAATCCTCACAACAACCGTACGGGGGAATTACTATTATGATCACTATGTTGTCACAGAAGGGAAATTGAGGCCTGTCGAGGTTAAATGAACCACTGAAGTCTACACAGCTGGTAAGCAGCAGTGTCAAGATGGAGATTCAGACCGCTGATTCCAGAAGGGAAGGAACTTTCTCTCCCAAGAAATGGAGGAGTCAGAACTCGGGGATGCGGGCCATGGTTGGCAAGAGAGGCCAGGGAACCTGGTTCTGGATGCGACGGTTTTGCCAGACTCTTTTTACATCTGCAGTGCCAACCTACAGCTATCCTAATTTATCTCAGGATCAGAAACATAAGAGGCGAAATGTCACCTGTTTTTATGCCACGTAGTTCCTTTTTAAAAAATTTAAACAATGTGCTCTAAGTTCAATTGTTCTTAAACCGGAGGACTTGTTTAGACAGATTACAGGACCCCACGCCCCTTTTCTGGTTTAGTCGGCCTGGGGATGAAGCCTGAGAATTTGCACTTGTAACAAGTTACCAACTGGCGCTGATGCAGCTGGTTCTAGGGTTACATTTGAGAATGGCTTTGGTGTATCAGTAAAGCTACATGTGAGCTTTTCTAAAATGACTTGGCTGTGAGAAGGTGAGTATGGAAAAGGCAAAGGACTTGCCCATAAACCAGAGGTAGCAAGAGCGGGTTGGGGGTGGAGGCTACATGAGTGAGGGTCTATATGAGCTGGGAAAGAGAAGCCAGGGCCCGCAGAGACTAGCTATTCCTGGATGGAAATGAGGGGAAGCAGCAAGCCAGGGTGAGCTGGGCAGGGGAGCCAGACTGGCCACAGAGACAGAGATCGGGCAAGGGCAGAAGTCAAATAGGGTAGAGCTCCTGCTAAAAGCTGCAGGCTCCTGGTTGGACAGCAGGAAAAGAACAGGGGAGGGAGGACAGCAGCAGCCAGGAGTGAGCTCCTGGGATTGAGCCTGTGACAGAATCTGGTGATCACATTTCAGCTGAGACTCACTGTCTCCAAAGCCTCCTTCTGCCTCTTTATGCCCATCAGTCATAAAGTGCGCAGGAGTTGCCCTCTGACAGAAGTGAGGTGAAGTTCTTGCAGCAAGGGAGCCAAAGACAGCATTAAATGCGGCTTCTCCCCCTTCGTGGTAGTCAGATAGTGACAGGCAGGGCCAAAGCTGGGGAGCTCACAGTCAGGTTTTTTGACCTCTGACTTTCTCCAGTCCCCGCGCTGCATTTATCCTTCATGGGAAACTGACTCAGCTGCAGAATTTGCACAGTGCAGAGAGTGGCCTTTTGGCTGCAGCAGTGGGTGCGTGGCTGGGTGCCTGGCTGCTCTCATTACTCCTGGAACTGGGACGGCTTGGATAGGAGCTGCCTTCCCCTTGGTACCAAGAGAGGGAGCATCTCTGCAATCCTGCGTGCCACTCTTCCTTTCAGCTGCAGGAACAGAACTGTGTTCAGAGGCCCTTCCTGACCCCGGCCTTCAAGCGCTACCCACCTAGCCTGAGTGAAGTTCCTACTTTCCGTTTTGTTCCTTCTATCCCATTTCCTGCACAGGTCTGTTCAGTTCAAACTGAGCGCATACTAGATGTCAGGCCCTGTGCTGGGGAGACAGATATAAGTAAAAGAAACCTCCACCGTCAAGGAAATCATGGTATAGTCAGGGAGACCTTGTATAGAGATAATCACAGCCTTGTAGGATAAATGCCGTTTCTTAAACATAAAGCTCATGCCCTCGTAGGGCCTTTGAATGTGCTGTTTCTTCTGTCTAGAATGCTCTTCTCCAGATTTTTGTATGGTTCATTTTCTCACTTCACTTAGAATGCTCCTCAGAGGTCTTCCCGGACTTTCCCATGGAAAATGAAGCCCTCACAATTCTCTGAGCCCATTTTACCCCATGTGATTTTTTTTCTATAGCACCTCAAACTACCCGACATTATCTATTTAAATGGGGGCGGGGAATGGCAGTCAAACTCCCATAGCGGATTGTATGCTCTACAAGAGAGAGCTGGGCCTCCTCAATGCTGAATTCTCAGTTCACAGAACTGGTACCTCATAGGTATTCAGTATGTATTTCCCTTTTGTTCATTCGTCTTAACTGATTGCCCAGTTGAACTTCTCCGAGTCACCAAATGCAGGATGGGGCCTTGGGGAAGAACATTTGCAAGCCAACCGTCCCAAGCTTCCTACAGTCTGCACTGTGCCCTCGGTCCAGGCTGAGAAGGTGATAGCTCCCCACCAATACCTGTTAAGTTACTGAGCGTTACCTGGGTACTGGGCCCTTCCAATACGTTATTTAACCCTCACGATGCTCTGCAAAGTCAGCATTATTTCTCTTATTTTTTACCTAAGATGACACTGGCCCAGGGAGAGTGACCTGCTCAAAATCACAGGCAGCACGGTGCCCAGGAAAGCTCTCTGGGAAAGGTCTACCCACATTTCAGCCCCGTCCCTACAGACCTTTCCCATGTTTTCGCTACAGCCCCATCCTAGGGTTTGCCTGGCCGCTCCTCCAGCGCCTGGGTGGGGAGGTGCGATAGCTGCGGGATGGAAAGGGGGCCGATCTCCGTCCTGGGCCAGAGCTTTCCTTCCCGCGCCCTCCGCACCCGCCAGCGGCTGGATGCTCGATGGTCCATTCCAAGGCCTGCAGCGAGCGTGCGTGCTGAGGAAAGAGGATGGGGAAAAGCGGCAGACGTTCTTTCAAAGGACCCTCAGGACGGAGCGGCGCACCCTTCCTCCTCACCGCCCCTCCCTCCTGGCACCCGATAACCCCGACCTCCACCGGACCGACGGCAGCGCGCATGCTCGGGGCGCTTCTCTCCCCCCCCTCCCTTCTGCGAGCCGCCCTTTCACCCAGGCAACCGCGGCGCGACAACGGCGCGCGCGCGCGCGCTGGGCGCGGACCGGGCGGGGCCGGGAGGCTCCGCTGTGCGCTGAGGCTGAGGCGGCGGCGGCGGCCCCGAGTAGCGGTCTTGGCGTGTCCCACCTCCTTTTGCCTCCTCACACGGTTTTCCTACGCCTTTTCGGGCCCAGAGGGCTTAACCCCTGGCAATGGACTCCCAGAAAGTAAGCGGGGAGGGGGCGGTGGCCCACCACGGCCGGGCGGAGGGTGGGCGGGGCGCCTGGGAGGGGTGGGCGGTGGGCGCACGGGGTGGCAGGGCCCGGCCGGACTGCGGTGGCGGCGGGGGTGCGGCCATCCGGCTTTCGTTCCCGGAGGGAGGGAAGCGGCGCAAGCCGGACTGCAGGGACCGCGCCCGGTGACCCGGGCTGGCCTCTGCCCTACACTTGGTCCTGGGCCCCGGCTCCTCAAGGTAAATACCGAGCGGTCCCTATTTCTTGTTGATTTTCTGCAGCGCTCTAGGCCCCCTCAAATTCTCGCTGCCTCCCAGCACGCTAATAAGGGTTTGTCCCATCTCAGCAGAAGAGGCAGCCAAGGCACATGGGGTCTACCTGCTGACGCCGGAGCTGATGCTCTTGCCCCGACCCTGTCTTGTCCTACGGCTCTTGGCACAATGCGTACGTCTTCAGAGGGGCAGCCAAATCTTCCTTAGTGCCGCCTCTACCCGCCTGGTGGCTGCTGCTTCGCCAGGTCTCAGTGTTTAGTGTAGGTTGGAGTGAGGGGAAAAAAACTTAAGAGTTGTCAGGGCGGCGGTCGCACGCTCTTGGACCAGTTCGGTGCTGCTGGCCCCATTCCCTTAGTGATGATTGTGGCATGTTTTACACTGTCCGAACATAGTAAGTAAACGATACATAGAGACCTAGCCGGTTCAAATAAAAAAAAATATTTAGCGAGCATAGCCAGTGTTTTCAGAACAATTAGAAATGAGTTATTAATACTCAGTCATAATCCCTACATAGAAATCAACCACCGTGTTCTCCTCTTTGTTAGATGATAGTAATTGAAATATAGTACAGTAAGGAAACACAGCGTTATTAATAATGAAGCAGGGAAAAACAAAGGCATATCCAAGAGGCCATTCTTTTCTATTAGATAGAAAGCACTGGAAAGACTTACGAGAACAATGTTTTTTATAATTTTGCCTGGATTCACCTACTTGAGCTGACTATTCTAGTATTTAACAAAAGTGCACAGGATTTCATTGTGTCTTGAAACTCGGTTGGGTATACTGAATTTTTATTTATGTGACTACTAGACATTTAAAAAAACTGCATTTTGTGAATTTTGAATATGTACACATTTAAGACATCTCTGCCTAAATTTGTAAAACATTTCACAGCTTATTTAACTTTTCAGACAAAAGTCATATGATATCTGAATGGATATTATTAGTTCAGGGCAAATGGAAGGGCAAAGACTTGGAGTCCAGAGACTTGGGTTCCATGCTGCTATTTACTGACTCTGATATGGAGCAAATCACTTAAGTCTGGTTAATCTACTTCCTCACCTCTGCAGCAGAAGTACAACTATTTTGTAGGGTTATTGTAAAAAATCGGGTAAAAGAATTCATTATGAAAACATATACAGTGTTTTTAAAGTTCATAAAAATAATATACTCAGTGTGCTATAAAATACAGTTTAAAGAAGTATTTTGTACGGATCATCTTATTTTGCCAGGGCAGGTGTTATCCCTCACTCTCATGAGGACTTGAGAAAGCCATGCCTCCTGCAGGGTCCGGCCACTGGCCACGGTCATAAGTTCAAAGGCTTGCACTTGCTTGGTCTCCTCCCAAATGAAGTATATGAGTACCAGTGCGTACTATGTGTGGTTGCCCCAGAGGAAGCAAAGAATTAGTTGCTCTTCCTTAATGGTACTAAAATAGCTCATTTGTGAGAACTTTGATAATCAACTTTTCACTGTCAGAAAATGTGTTAAATGTCATTGGTGGTATTAAATAATATTTTTAATTAACAAACTTTTTATTTTGTTTTATAGCTTAAAAGGAGTATCTGGTGTTAATACTTATAACCGTGAATTATTATTATGAATTACTGGAGAATCAGTTACTTACAGGGTGGGACAAAAGTAGGTTTACTGTTGTTTATATGGAAAGTAATACAATAATAATACAAGAATAAAGTCAGTTTCGCATATGTACAACTGTAAACCTACTTTTGCCCTATCCTGTACTTCATCTAATAATGAACTAAACCGGATATTTATTTCTCTTTAAATAAGACAGTAAGTAATACACCCCTGGCCTGGTTTTTCTTTCCTATTATAGAATGTTATGGTGAACATAGTAGCAGGGGCGGTACCTTAGTCAGCATGAGGACAATGGTTAGCTACTGCAAGTGGTAATGGGTAAAGATGGATTGAATATGTATAAACCTTTTATAAGGCATTGAGATTTGGGCTTCAAATTATCGAGAGGATGGCTTTGGAGCCAGGTGTCCTTTCCTACTATTTATGAGCTGAATGAGCATGGGTAATTTGCTGTGAGTCTCTGTTTCCTCATTTATAAAATAGAGGTAGTGGTAATCCTCACAAGGGTTATTGTGAGGATCATATTAATTTTAAAAAATCATTTGGTGCCTAGCATACATGAGTACTCTCTTTTAGCTATTGTTATTAATTTCATAATCCCAACTTTAAAATAACTTTCTCCTTTGTTGGTAGTTTATGTAACTTTTTCCAATCCAGTCTATCTAATTTTTACCTTAAGCTTTAAAATATGTTTTCTGTTTTTCTATCTGTAATGGTGGTTTAAAAGAAGAGTTGTTAAATCCTAATTGAAAGAGGATTGGAAGTTCTGACTCATGCAATCTGACAATAGAGGTTAAGTTAACAGAACAGTCTTACAGAAGCTTGGTCAGCAATTGGATTAGCTTGACCAGCTGCTTTTTTGTCTGTGAAAATAACTTGGACTTCAGTGTTGTGTTAGCAACAGATGCTCTGTTTGAGTAGAGGAAGAAAACATAATTGCCTTGGGTATGTGAGGCATACTGTTGGATACAGAAAACCACAGTATTATCTCCTAGAAATAAACAGAGGGATTTTGTTTATATCAAGTTTCTGGGACACTTTTGTGAACAGGATGTGTTATGGATAGGTGGCTTTGTTTGATACTCAAACCTTTGGTTATGTCCTTAAGTGATTTTAAGGTAAAATCCCGAAGGTTTCTTTACCTGATGAAATGTGTATATTCAAAGAAACCATTGAAAGAAATAAGACATTTGCCTCTTTTTGGAATTTTGGCCCATAGAATTTGATAGTTTCACGTAAAATTTTGTACAGATCATTCACATTCATAGCGGTTGCTGTTTCTAGGAAAAGGTACATGCTGTAGGAATATTATGCATTCATTGGTTGCTTCTGGTATGTGCCCTGATGGGAAATTGAACCCGCAACCATGGCAGGTGAGGATGACATTCCAACCAACTGAGCTACCTGGCCAGGGCCCAAATTTTTAAAAGAGTATAATTTACTGTATGGCTATTTCATATGATGGGCAGATTGGTTAGATTTAGAGGAAATATTCTAAAGTGGTCAAGAGCATGGGCTTTGTACACAGACTGAGCATGACCTTTACCTTACTAGCAGTATCCTTTTGCGCAACTGGTTGAATCTTCATTTTCTCATTTCTATAATACGGATGTAACCCTGCCATTAGGGATAGAAGGGGAGACAATCCTTGAACCAGAAAGAGCCCAGTCTCAATGGAAGCGTGCTATACACAGTCTGAGGACTGCAGAATCACTTTTACTGTTTCATTGTGCTGTTTTTAAATACATAGAGATCCTATCTTACATGAATACTTGGAAGACTCTTAGGTCCTCTGCCTTCCTTTTCTACATCGCTTCAATTGTGCCCACCCCTCCCCCAAGTCCTGGTTGCATTCTACAGGTCATCTTTGCATTCAGATCTTGGTACACAGGTTTCTGGGAGTTACACCAACAGGCTAAACAGCCAGCTCTTGGTGTGGGTCTTCTTTAATAGCATAACTTCATTGTGTTATTGTACTAAAATACCACCAGTGGTGAGGATGGGAGGAAGTAGTATAGTTGAGTGCACACAGCAGAGAGCCCTAGGCAGCCCCAGGGATGATGGTAAGATCTACCTATCTCCAGGGGTTGTTGAAAGAATTAAATGAGAACTGTTGTAATTCTTTTTAATTTTTTACTACCATAATGCTTTATGAAAAGTTATGTAAAGTATTATTCCTTCATCAGACTTTGTATAATTTTTTAAATTGGTATTCGATTATATTTTGAGGAGAACCTTTATCACATGAAATCTTACAGGAAATTGTTAAAATATTTACACTTGTCAGTGCTTACAGATACAAAGCTTGTGTGCCCGGGAAAATTATAAAGTAAAACTACTTGCATTTGATTTTTACTGAGAATACAAGTACCTTGTTTGGATTTTGCTGTTACTATCCATGGAGAGTTATTAAACAACTGTGCTGTCCAATATGACAGTACTTGTTACATGGGGCTATAAAAAGTGAAATTGGAGTTAAAAAAGAAAATTTAGTCCGCAGTTGCTCTATCCACATTTTAAAAGCACATTAGCTTCACGTGGCTAGTGACTATCATATTGGACAGCACATATGAAGACATTTCCATCATAGCAGAAAATTTTATTGGATAGTACTGAACTAGAGTGTATGAGAAAGTTAAATAACTAAGTGTTTTATTTAAATAGGAAGCATTATCAAAATGTGTGAGGTATTTGCTACTAAAATTATTTATTATGCTCCTATATCATCTGTAAGTATTAAAATGAATTTTGTAACTTAAGCTGCATATTTACTACCTACTTTCATATTTCTAAAATATGTTTTTACTTTTATGAATAAATAAAATGTCAAATTCAGTGTCTCTCTGCTTTTAGTTCTGATATCCTGATGTTTTATTAGAAGTTTCCATTTGTTCTTGCAATGTTTAAGGTTTCGTCTTATTTCTTTGCAACAGCCTTCTGACCTAAAATAATACTATTGGTATTAATTGTGATCATCTTCATTGTGAAAGGTATGATAGTGATTAACTTGTATATTGGGAATAAGAAATTTTAAAACAGTACACATACATATCCCATTATTTTACTTACAGGCCTTTGGAAATTTTGAACAAGAAGATTTACATTGCTCTTATTTATTATATAATATACTCTCACATAAAGGGTTTATTTAAAGAATTGTTGTAAATGAATTTTATAATTCTTTTTTATTAAAATATCTTAATGTTTCATTTTTTTTAATCCTAGGAAGCTCTACAAAGGATCATTTCAACTCTGGCAAATAAAAATGATGAAATTCAGAACTTTATTGATACACTAAATCAAACACTGAAAGGAGTTCAGGTATGAATCTTTTTTAAATGTTTGTGTAATATGTTGTAATGAATGATTGTTGGATCACATCAGAAGTATAACAACACTCCATCAACTCTAGATTATAAACTAATGGAAATGAGAAAAGGGTTTTTAAATGGCAGATAAACAGAAATGCTATCTTTGCTATTCATGCATTCTCCATGGAATGATCAAGTAGTGAGGGAAAAAGAAAACTGGAATTGTAGTTACTAGGGAATATTAAAGTGCTCACTTTTGTCCTTTTCCTCTTTATATTTGTCTTTTCTAATTCTAACTAAGAGGAAATCATACCTTCTCAAAAGTACTGGGAAGCTAAGCATTCCTTTTACAGCAAATAGTGGAAGAAAAATGTAGATGCTACAAGGTCTCCTTATAGAAGTAGATGAAGGTAAAACATAAAAGTAAAAGATAAAGTGCCCAATAAGGAAAGAGGAATACTTAAGGAAATCGTCCCAGGTTTGGGAAGATAATCTGTACTGTAAATAATCAAATGTTGATAGTGGAAGGTACCTTAAAAGTAACCTCGTGATGCTTTTGCATGAATCTGCCTTAGTTAATGTAAAGGACATTTCTTTGTAAAATAACAGAAGATTTGTAGGTCACTTACAGTGAATCCTTTCCTATGGTTTTTGTTTGTTTTAAGCTAGGTAATTGCCTGGTCCTAGACCTGCTAAACCTTATGGCCATTGTATTTCCTTCACTTTTGAATGTAATATGATTGAAGTCAGTTGATTATGATCTTCACCACTTTAACTGTCTTTCTTGAACTATTCCATTGGAAAATTTGGTGAATTCACAAATTCACTTTAAGAAAAGCTAGTGGTTGTAAAACTCTTGATCTGTGGGAGAAAAAAAATCATCACATTTGACACCTGGGTAAAGAGACCATAAGATCAAGCTAGCCTAAGATTTTTTTCTAATTGGCATATTAATGGAACTCTACCTTAGAATCCAGAAAAAAGTAGAGGGGGAATTAAGCTGTACTGGTTGCTGAAGATGGGGTTATGTGGGGGAAAGACCATTAGAATGTGCCAATTGGTTATTGAGGAGAATAGGGTAGTGCCATTCTTTTTGGATGAATAAACTGAGGAGTTTAAATGACTTGTCCAAGGTCAAACTATTATTACTGAGTGGTTGATGTGGGATTTGATTTAGGACTTCTGCCTTTGAGATGACACATTTCTTCTCCCACAGCTTGTTCTTAGATTATTATATTACAGTAGATTGTATGTATTAGTTCTTAATGCCAATTTGCTTCTCTTAAATGAATGATTCACTTAAGTTGAAAAATGTCTTAAGATAACTTCTTCTATCTTATAATTGTTGCAAGCATACAAATGGCTTATTTAGGGATTTCAGAGATATTTTAAATTATTTCTTGTTGAAGTAATAGCATCTTGCCTAATGAAGCATTGAGAAGTCAATAGACTTGAAGTGTTTTATTAATTCTGCCACTATCAACTAGTTGTGTAGTTTTGGGCAAGTCACTTATCTGTATTTAATTTCATAAAATTTAGGAGTTTGACTACAAATTCTAGTCAGTAGATGATTTCCAAGGTTCTTTCTAGCACTAAAATTCAGTGGTTGATAAATCTCTTAGGAGCCCTTAAGGAATTTCTAAATTTTTTGTCTATCTTTTGTAAATGCAGTATTTTAGACAACATGAATGATTTAAAATTTACACAAAATTAGCCTCACCCCAATATGTCCAAACTATTTCAATCTTAAGAGTTATGGAATAAAAATCTCTAGAATATTTTATTAAAATGCTTCACTAATAATTCTGATGCACACTTAAGGTTGAGAATCAGTGACTTAGTGTCTGCCTTAGAGCCTGAAGGTCTGGAAAGAGTTTGCAACCTTAAAACAACCTCTCACATTGTCCTGTGGAAATAGTACTAAATGGTATTATAAACGGTGGAGAGAGTATGGGCCAGTCCATAAAAGGCTGCCTAACTCATAGCCTAGCTGAAATGCGTAACAGCCAGCTTCTTGGATTTCTGTGTTTTTAAGGCCTTATGTCAAATATTAATATTTTAGGATGTTAGGCTAAGAAGGTTTATAATATAAATCTATTATCTCCTTTGATAAGTATATGTTAATTTTTAATGTTTGACAGCTCTTTAGTAAAATCATTTTGTTTTGTTTATTAAATAGGAAAATTCTACTAACATACTTTCAGAGTTAGATGAAGAATTTGATAGTTTATACTCTATATTGGATGAAGTGAAAGAAAGTATGATTAATAGTATCAAGCAGGAACAAGTTCGTAAATCACAAGAATTACAGGTGAGATCATAAAACTATCTAAATATAAATAATTTTAGTCTAATGCTTGATTTAAAGAAAGCAAAAATTAGTGAATTTCTGTGTATAACTGTATTTTTATGTTGTCGAAGAATGATTTTTAACTTTTTAGTCATAGATACCTTGTTTTTTTAAATTGTGATAAAACACATAATGTAAAATTTACCTTCTTAATCGTTTTAAAATGTACAGTTCAGTAATGTTAACTATGTTTATGTTGTGTAACAGATCTCTAGAACTTTTTCATCTTGCACATTGAAACTCTGTGCCATACCCACAGAACAACTCCCCATTTGCCCCTCCCCCCAACTGCCTGGCAACCACCATTGTGTTTTCTCTTTCCATTATTTTGACTACTCTAGATACCTCATTAAGTGGAACCTTACAGTATTTGCTTGCTTGAGAGAATTTAGGAAAATCTGAAGTATGGGCCAAAAGAACCCATTCATATGGAAGCTATTGGAAACGACTTAGGTGGGCCTGAAGGTTGGGTGGGGAGGAGTCTCAGGGAATCCCCAGGGTGGGGCAAAAACATTGAGTCAGATTAGATTGAGTCTCAGATAGGGCACCCACCGGCTGTTCTGTGGCTCTGTTGGGGGAGGGCTCAGAAGAGGTACAGTGGCCTCTGCCAACACTTCTGTGTGGGAGAAAGCTGCCCCCCAGCTCCCGCCCTAATGCTGGGCAGTTCAGTTCCTCACCATGTATCTTGGGTGCCTTTCAGTCTGCTGCCCCCACCCTGAATCTCAGAGGGAGTGAGTCTGAGTAAGTCTGTGTGCCAGCTCTTTAAGAGGAACTGCCAGGGAGTTTCTGTCTTCTACAGGGTGTTTCTGTCCAGCAGTTTCTGTCTTCCATAGCTTTAATCCTTGCTGGTTTTTATAGCTAGAAGTTACGGCAGCTTCTCTTCCTGGCACTGGAACCCTGGGCTGGGGGCCCTGGTGGGGGCTGGGGCGCTCCTCTCCTGAGACATTCCTCCTGATTTTTATTCAGCACTCCTGGGTGTGGGACCAGACCATTCAGCATTTCTGCCCTTCCTGCCAGTCTGGATCTAGTTTCTTCTTTAATTCTGTAGTTGTAGGTCCTCCATTCAGCTCGATTTCTTATGGTTCTGAACTATACAATAGTTGTTCTATAATTCAGTTGTAATTTTGATACGGTTGTGTGAGAAGGCCAGCTGTGCTCACCTACATTGCCATCCTGACTGAAAGTCTTCTATACTGTTTTTCATGCTGCTGTTGTACCATATTACATTCCCACCAGGAGTGCACAAGGGTTTCAGTTTCTCCACATCATTGCCAACTCTTGCTGCTTTCTATTCTTACTGTTATTTTAATTGAGATATAATTAACATATAACATTTTATTAGTTTTAGGTATTCAACATAATGATTTGATGTTTATATTGGGTTGGCCAAGAAGTTCATGTAGTTTTTTTCTGTATGATGGTTCTAGTACTGCTTAGTTGCCTTTAACTTCATTTGGAACAATTTTGTTAAATTGTATCATGACAGCTGTCATTATCAGCGTGCATTTTTTTAAAAACTTACCAAAATTGGTGAATTTCTGTGCAGCTGTTTTAATATTGAAGATGGAAGAAGATATGCAACATTCTTGGTGTAGTATGCCTTATTATTTTAAGAAAGGTAAAAACACAACTGAAATGCAAAAAATGATTTGTGTAGTGTAATGGAGAAGGTATTGTGACTGATCGAACATGTCAAAAGTGGTTTATGAAGTTTCTTGGAACTATTGACATTTTGGCCAAATAATTCTTTGGTGTGGGGCTATCTTATGCATTGGAAGAGGTTTAGCAGCACCCTGGCCTCTACCCACTAGGAGCCAATTACGGGAGATAGCTGACATACTCAAAATATCCAAATCAGTAAAGGTATTGATGAAAATGAAAAATATGTCTTTTAGAAGTAAATACCCATTTAGAGTGAATTTTTTTGCATAGTGTCAGGTAAGGTGCCAAATTCATTCTTTTGCGTGGAGGTATCCAGTTTTCCCAGTTCCATTTGTTGAATATTCTGTAGTTTCCTCATTGTGTGGTTTGGCACTCTTGTTAAAGATCATGTGACCATACATGTGAGGGTTTATTTCTGGGCTCTTTATTCAGTTTCAGTGGTCTGTATGTCTGCCTTTATGCCAGTATCATTGTTTTGATTACTATAGCTTTGTAATAACAGTTTAAAATTGAGAAATATGAAGGAGGTCTCAACTGTGTTCTTCTTTCTCAAGATTATTTTGGTAGTTTGGGACCCTTTGAGATTCTGTATGAATTACATTTTTTTTTCTATTTCTGCAAATAAATGCAATGGAGATTTTGATAGGGATTGCATTGAATTTGTAGATTTTGGGGGGGTAGTGTGGACTTTTTAACAATATTCTTCTAGTTCACAACACAGGCTGTCTTTCCATTTATCTGTCATCTTCAATTTCTTTCAGCAGTGTTTTGTAGTGTTCAGGTTTATTGCCTCCTTGGTTAAGTTTACTCCAAAGTATTTCATTCTTTTTGGTGCTCTTGTAAATGGGATTATTCACTTAATTGTCTTCTTGGGTTTATTTTTTTTTCTGTATAGAAATACAGCTGATTTTTGTGTGTTGATTTTGATCACATATCTTTGAGAATCTGAAAGCTATGGAAGAATACAAATGTTTTCTTTCTCTCTTACACACACTGTACACATGCGCTTTCTAAGGTTCAAATACCCAGTCAAGTCTGCCCATACTTCCCAGGTTAGGGATTTTTTTGTTTATATTGGGGAGTTGAGGGTGGTATTACTTAAATCATTCAAAGAATTATTTAGTCATAAATTATCCATAAACCTCAATAAATTATTCATTTAAAAAACAAGATTAGCCAGGAAAGGGAAACTCAATTTTCATCTTGTGCAGATTTCTATACCCTCCTCACAGCACCAGTTTGTAGTATCTTCTAAGTATTTAGTTGCTTAATTTTTAACCTCCCTTTCTTCCTTCCTGTATTTTCTCTCCAGAACAACTCTAATAATCTCCATCCTCATTGTGCTCACCAGCCAACATTTCTGTCAACCTAGCCCATACCACATATTAAATCTGCCAGTAAAGTGGCTGTGAGTCATATTTTTTCTACTACTTTTCCCTCTTCCCATCAAGTGACAAAAATCTCATGCATATTAAATGTGCATTATTAATTTTTATCTACTGACCTTTAACCATTCCTGGGGTGAGTGATGTTGCGATGCTGCTGATATTAGTTAATCTCATTTTCTCCTACCTATAAGCTCCGAATACCTGGTTGGTGCCAATTTTTTGTTGGGACCTTCCTTCTTCTTAACTGTGTATGTTGTTTATTTTTCTGGCACTGTTAATAGGGGAGCTAGACACAGGCAAAAGACACATTTAAAAAAAATTGCAATTGGCCAAGATTCAATTAAACACCCTTCTTTAGAAGTAGGAACTTTGCCATTTGTGTTTAGAAAAATACTTCCTACTTGCCACATGTTATTCATTATCCTATTATATTGCCAGCTTTTAACTAATGACAGTTGACTAGCCAGATCCTCTTAGGTCCTTTTCTCTACTTTGCATTTCTCCCTATCCTCAAAATCCACATACATTGTATAACAAAGTCTTTATAATGATAAATTTAGTGAGGCATGATTAGATATTGAAATCATAATTACCATTGAATTTTCAAAAATTATTTTATCATCTTCATTATATGTTGTTATGCTTAATCTAAAGATAATATAGATTTGTAAGAGAATTTGAGAAACTGGAAGTGTTCCACATCTTAATGTTCAAAATTCATATTTGAGAAGTTTAGAGTGTTTCTCCTCAGCACAATTTATAGGGGTAAGTCAGTGATAATATTTGATTGTCAGTGATGAGATTTCATGCATTCATTATCTAGATTTTATGTATTCGTTCATTAAAATTTGAATTACTCCTATGCTGGATTTGGAGTATGTAATAATGAGCAAACTGTGCCTATATGGATTTCACATTCTAAAAGAAAAGGAAAAACAGGTCCTTTTGGCAAAGATTATAAGTTATAAGAGTAAACAAAAATTATAAAAGATATAACATTTAAGGATAATGTAAATGTAAGCACTGTATAGCAGTACATAATGGAGAGAAATCATGAAAGGAATTGACTTAGAAAACAGCTTTTTTAAAACTGATTTGAAGCACTTTGAGGGAAAGAAAGGACTTAATTATAAAGGGAGGAGAGGGTTAAAATAAATATTAAAGTCCAGGAGAGTATTAGAATCATCTTGAAGCCAAGTGCTGATTGGGAGGAGAGATCTAACATTTGTGTCATGGCATGTAGATTCTGATCTTTTGGAGTGTGGTCCTTGTTTACTCAAGATGTTTGAGATTTTCAGAATTAGATAATCTCTATGCATTGTAGATTTTTTTGGTTCAAAATATGTCTTTTAACTTCCAGAAGAAGTGTGGTATATTCATATCAGAACTTATTTTTTGACAGCCACGTACAGAGTAGAATATACAGGATGGGTAAAAGTAGGTTTACAGTTGTGAGTATGTGAAACAGTGTTTATTCTTGTATTATTATTTATTATTTATTTGTATTACAACTGTAAACCTACTTTTGCCCACCCATAGGTGTGTACACACAAAATCTGTAGTACCCTTAGAATACTTGCATTTATTGTTGCATTTATTGCTCTTATAAATGACTGAATTTGTATTTCTAGTTGTTGACTAAATTCCCAGTAATACATAATTAGGTCATTAAATTCTCTCTTTTTTCATAGAGTCTCAGATACTTTTGTCTACTTTGTGTTGTATATTATATCAAATTTATCATTAGCTGTTAATATAGATGATGGATTCAAAATGTTGCAGCAAATGGGGAGGAACAGACTTTTAAATACTTTTTGGAAGTGGTGACTGCAAGGGTGTTAGCGCCATCTCTTTTTGTACCATCACCTCAGATCTTCATTTTTTCCAGTTATTCTGTTGTTTTATTTTTTTTCCTCCTTTTATTTTACACTTCACTATCCTTTTCAGTTCTTAACACTTGCCTCTCCTCCTCAGTGCCACAAAAATTTTGGCAATTTTTTGTAGGAATGGTGAGCTAGGAGGGATCAAGGGTTATTGGAGGCGCAGTAAGTTGTAAAATAAGACTGTGTTATTGAAACATAATCTTAGTGAACATAACTTTGCTTTTGAAAATGTTCTTTTGTTATAATTCAAAGGAAAAACTATAGTCATATCAGCCAAATGGTAATGTAAACCATAAAGCTTTATTGGGATAGTTTAAAAACTAAATATTAAAAGGAGTCACAACTTGGCTGCAGATGCCATTTCCTTTTTTAGTTGGAGATAATAGAGCATCCCTGTTCTTCCTTTGGATTCACAAACTTGGTAACATGCTGTTTTCACTAAGATAATTTAATAATTCTTTTGCCATGGCCAGTGTGGCTCAACTGGTTGGAGCATTGTCCTGTGCACTGAAAGGTCGTACATACCTAGGTTATGGGTTTGGTCCCTGTTTGGGGCACATACGGGAGTCAACTGATCAATGTTTCTCTCTCGTACTGATACTTCTCTGTCCCTCATCCCGCCTCCCCACCTCCATTTCTCTTTAAAATCAATAAATGTATCCTCAGGCAATGATTTTTTAAGACATGTTCATTTAAAAAAAGATTTAAAAAGATAATATAATAATTCTTCTGAATAACTGATAAGTTAGTACTCTTTAAGTGTATTCTTTTGTACCCCCCTTTTTTTCTTTCCCTCTTCAAAGCAAACTCATTGCCTTTTCTTAGATTATTTTATCTCAAACTTTGACTTTAGATTGGATTCTTTCTATAATAGTTCTTTGAGATATATTCTTTATTCTTCTTGGTATTTTTTACTTTACTACTACATTGAGTAGTCTGCCCTACTGATCCTATATAGACCATTTATACCTACTATTTTGTTTTCAGTGATTTTCCTTAACTCTTTTGTTAAAGCTCTTCTATAAATGGTATATTTCAAATGGTGGTTTGTTAATTTAAATGGTGATTTGTTCATTCATCTTTGGCATTAAGAAGTTTACTCATAGAGAGAGCAGTATTTTTACAAATTGTGGTTAGGTTCTTAGAATAACCCATGAAAATCTATTTTAACCCAAAATATGGCTGAATTATTTATTCTACCTTCCCAAAATAAAATAGAACATACTAGAAACCAATAAGATGAGCCACAGGTTGTATTTAGTGCTGATTTTAAGGGAAAACTAAGTGGATTTGCATATGGAATAGATCATAATAACTATTCTGAAGAAGAATCTTGGATACATTTAAAAGCATAGAAATTGGTTGGTCTGTGTTTAAAGGTATCGCTAACAATATTTTCACATGATGGGGCTTAGTTTTAGATCCACAAATGATAGAGTGAAGGAGAGAGAACTGAATAAGAAAGATTGCATTAGGTGAAATTAACACATCACATAACAGAGCACATCACTTTAACAGTTACTCTCTCATTCCTCTTTACTATTTTTTTTTTGAAATTCAGGCTCTAGCTTTTTTTTTTTTTTTTTTGCTGTGTTATCCTTTATTGGTAACTGTAAATTAGCAATTAGGAGTATTATTTCAGTATTGTGATAAATGCTAAAGTTGTGCTCAGTTGAATGTACCTGTAACTTGATTCGTAAACTTCAGTTTAAATAAATATTAAGTACAATCTTCATTATAGAGGATGTTGTCTGCAGGTGGATTATTTTGATATTTTATTTTAAATTGTTGGTAGTTTTCTGATTGCTCTGCTTGAGAAGAATTTTTAAGTAAATTTAACCCCAGTTATTTATAATTGTTTTATTTTCTTTTGTGTTTTTAAATGATGAGTATATATTTATCAGTATGTAGTTAAGCTCTTATGGAGAAATTATGGACAGATGTTAAATATAATGTATTAAGATAATTAAAATTTCTTGAAAATACAACTAGTGATTGATTTGCTTCAGTAGCTCTCTACAATATTTTTGTTCAATTATTGCTATTAAATTGTTTGTAAGTTCATTATAACAATACTATATATTTAAAATTCTGATGGCAATAGGAAATTTTATTTTAATGATTAATTTTTTTTCCCCTAGAGTCAGCTTAGTCAATGTAATAGTGCCCTGGAGAACTCTGAAGAGCTACTAGAATTTGCAACACGGTCATTAGCTATAAAGGAAGCTGAAGAATTTTCAAAGGTACAAAAAAAAATCAACCAAAAAACTAAACTAATCCACTTAAAAAGGAAAGTTTTGATTAAAAATTTGTTTTTTTCCTCTTAATTTTGGATTTTTCAGTCTAAAAAATATAAAATCTAAAAGGAATAGTTTTGTATTCTATGAACTGATTGGGAAACCATCATCACTTGATGCAGATGAGCACTGCAGCTTAGTAAAATTTGTTGTTAAATGTTCCACCATTTAGCTGAAGAAATTATTTGAATGTTTTATTAAAATATAAAAATGTGGGTCTCTTATTTAAGGGCAGCGTTTGGTATGAAACTATAAACAATAGAGCAAAAAGATTGCTAATGTGTTAACCTAGGTCCTGGTGTTTAAAAGATTCTGAATTCTAGTTTCTAGATTTTATTTTAAATAGAGTTCTTTTTCAATGATTACCAATTTATCATATCTGTTATATCTGATATAGAATAAGGATATAAAATATATTTTAAAATGCTATGAAAAAAGTGGGAAATTAAGCTATATAATTAGCACACTACACACTAATATTCTTATCAAGATAAAATATTTGAGTTTGATGTTATTTTTCTTGGTCTTAGTGGACAAAGTAGTGAGCTCCACTAGTGTTAGAAAGCTGGCTTTATAATCCATTTGCGTCCACGTAATGTTTTCATTTTATGATTTTTCTCTAAACTTGAAAATAGAAAAATCTTTCTTGAGAAGGTAACATTTGCTGGCTTATATCCCTGTATTAGACTGTTACAAGTTTGGTTGACAGTAAACATATGCAGAAAGATCACCAGCTGCTGAGGTCTGATCATTAACTTTATTTCTGGATGGATAAGTAGCCAAACCCCACCAAATCTGGGTTCTCTGGTAATAGCTGGCCTGCACAACGACTGCTTGGATCCTTTGCCAAAATTAATATTCCTGTCTTTCCCCATCCCTGAACTTAGAATTTGAATTCTACCTAATGAAGAGCTGAGTCTGTGGGACAATTTCCAAGTCAATATAGCTTATCCAGCCACTTCATCACTGTCTTGCCACTCATAGCCCACTTGTCAGACTAGAAAGGAGGGAATGGTTACTTGCCCTGGTGCCTACAATGAAATAAAATGTACAGACTAAAGCAAAAGGAAAACAATATTGTCTACATTTGATTCTAGGTGAAAAGGGAGAATAGGTTTTGTGTATTTCCCACTTCTAACTCACAACCATCAGAATATTGTTCAGTGAGTGTGAGGCTCTGACCCCTGGGAGCGGCAAACAAGAGGAGGGTGGCAGCTCACTCTGTGTGTTCAAGGGAGCAGGAGTATTGGCAGAAGCTAATGTGGGCCGGAGTCAGGAACGCTGGGAGAGGAGGGGACCTTTAACAAAAGCATGACTGTTTCCGTTTTGAAGGCAATTTAAAAACAAATCTAAATACTTGTTAAGAATAGCTTACGCTATAATTTACCCTCTTTGTTTCAATAATGGTTGTTGGTGTTCTATAAAAGAGTAATCTATTGTATAAGTAAATGTCCTTAGTCATAGAACAGATGTATGCAAGTACTGTATTCAAAGTTTATTTCAAGTTATTTACTATACTTTGTGAAGATGACTTTTAAGTAATTGTGTTTTTTAAAAAATAGGTTTTTTAATAAACACATTTACATAGAAAATATAAAATTTCTAATGTATGGACTCAACCAGCACGCAGTGCTTTTTTCCCCCTCCTAAGGAAAATAGCATTTTAAACCTCTCTCTTTTCACTCTCTGTGACTGAGCCTCTTTCATTTACAAAGTTATGCCCTTAGTATGTTATTTTTTGGGTGAGGATAGATGTCTCAATTACATATTGCAAAAAACTATTGAAAAAATATTAAATATTTGCTCCTTACTCATTTTCAGGTTGTCTCAAGGAAACAATACAAAACTGTCTATCCCAAACCCAGTAGGAAAATTTGAAGTGTAAACAATGTGAAGATGTAGACAAGATTTGAAAACTTTCTCAGTGTTGTGTGGCATTCAGAATTTTACTAGGACCTCCATTAAGCTTTACTGTAAATCAAAATAAAGATAAATCCTCTTAGGCAAATGCCAATTTTGATGTCTAGCTTTTGCTGGATTCATTCTTTTGACAGGATTAGTGAATTTTTCTCTCTGCAATCATTATCATTCAGAAACAGAATATGTTCTGTTTTCTGTTGCTGTTTATCAGTGCTCTCTGATTTTAACTCTTTGCTGTCTCTTTCTCTGTTTCAGCTTGTAAGTCAGAGAATTAGACTGTTAAAGTATTTAATTCATTTTGGATAATTTTAAAAAGTTGCCATCCACAAATAAGGTGGCTTAGAATGGACTTGTAAGGTTTATAGATACCTTAGTGCTTTTCATTTTATAGATAACTGAGTCCTAAAAGAGTTAAGTATCTTGCTAGTTAATGTGATTGACTGAAACACAGATCTTTTAAACTTTGGTCATTGTTCCTTATTTTTTTAATGATGTTTCAAAATTTCTGCTGATTGGAAAGAAATTTGGAAATATCAAATTTTGTTCTGTTTGGGAAAATGATTCATTGACAATAAGATCTAAAACTATTATTCCCTTTTTAACTGTGTTTAGAAAATCCTATTCAATTTAGTTGCTCCATAAATAGACTGGTTTTAGAGTAGCTTGCTTCTAACATCTTTCTGTAAAAGAAGAAAAAATGAGGCTATTAAAAAGGGTTATAGAAGCAATAAGATCTTAACCTTCAAAGATCTGGATAAAGTCATGGGAGAAAATAGTTTCTATATCTGCTCATTGCAGATTATAAACAAGAGAGATTGGGAAAAGTTCTGGTTTAACTTTTTTATTTAATTGGTAATAGTAAAGAACCATTTGTGATTACTACTATTAATACATTTTACCCTGACTACTATTCTATTTAGGGAAGTTTGATCTTAGGTGACACATTCCTGTAATTCATAAAATCAATGATCAGAATTGTAAGATTTATTTTAAAAACAAGAGAGATGGAGGAAAAGAATGAGAGAGAGAAAGGAGATATCTTTGATATGAACAGAGGGAATGAAATGTTGGCAAACAATATTTCACTAGAAGATTGAAATAGAAATAGTGATTGAAATTGAAATAGAAAATAGTCATGTTGAGCAAAGTAATATGACTAATAATTCTTGAAGGCTTTCCAGTAATATACCGTTCCATACCCTAAAAATCCAAGTATTCACTGAGGCCTCTTCATAATTCACAAAGTGGAATTATGTAGTTGCAAATAAAAGTATTGGAGACAGAGCCCTGATAAATGATGGGGCCAGTTGGTACTTATTAAGCAGAAATGTTTAAATGACAAAATGCATCACAGTTGAAATTGAAACTTAGAGGAATCAAGCAGCATTGTAATGTGTACCTTTTGCACAACTTTCTGTGTGGGGAGAAGAAATTCCAGAAAAAAAAATTAACCTATTTTCCAATTTAAGACTTTTTTGAAATTGGGCCCTTTTAGAGAAATATTTGCAACATTTGAGGCTTTCTACTCTTTATCATTACAAAGAACAACCTTTTCAATCCCTCCTGCATTTTCACAGTGTTTGTATTATAAAATTTGAACCTAAATTAAGAGGAACCACTAAGTCTCCAATTTTACCAACTGGGCATAGTTACATATGTACACGGGACAATAGTTTTTCTTAAGTTATATTTTTCATCTATTCATTATCTGGTTTGTCACAAAGAGCCAAGTATATTAAATAATAACATTAAAGCTTTACATGCATGTGTACGTGTGTATACTTGCACACACTAAAAATGGCACTTTACTAAATTAAGGTAACACTAGATTCAAAATTGAATAATTATAGTCAGTTTAAAAACAAGTGATGACCTTTATATTGTTGGGTTATTTGAGAGTCACTGGTTAGTAACTTTCCTCTAACCAAGTTCTAAACCAGTTGGGAAATGAGATAAAAATAATAAAGCTGATAAGAAGCCAAGTACTGATAAAATGATATTGGTGAATTTGGCTTGTATCAATGGGCAAGCTTTCTAACATGGAATCCTAGAGTCCCATGGATTCACCCACCCGGGTGTGGTCAGTACAGGGCTGCTTCAGGTTTGTGTTGGGAGGAGGGCTTATTTCAGTGAAACTTACTGCATCAAGGGAAAGAACAGAATATGTGTTCTCTGTGGGTAGGTAAGCTACCAGAAAAAGGAAAAGGTGCTGAGCTACTTATTTCTAGTTTCTGCTTTCAAACTTATAATCAGATTAAGTCATATTGTCTCCCCAGGGGAGATGAGGGAACAGAGGGAGGCTAATGCTAGTGGAAGTGTCTCCATAGGTAAAAAAAAAATTAAGTGCAGAGAGTCTCCTCTTCCCCTCCCTTGATACATATTAAAATCTTTGGTTTGTAATCTTGCCTATGAATATATGACAATAATTTTTTTTAAAAAAACAATGTAATCGACTACCGTAACATTTCTTATCCCTAGTACCCAAGTAGTGTCATGATTTAAGGAACATATTATATATGCCACAGAATTGGGTTGTCTCCTGCAGAATGTGGAGCTTGAAAAGTATATTTGGAAACATTGAGGACTAAATTCCGTAATAAAAAAATAGAATGATTAGTATACAAGGTCACAGAATTGATTATGATAATGTTGGAACTGTATAACAAGCTGATCTAAATTGCAGTTCTGTTTTCAGAAAGGTTCTCAGACCAGAATATTTCAGGGTATAAAAATGACTACTAGTAAGATCAATATTAGAACTGAAGAAGAGAGGCAACAGGAGTATTGTTATGTACATTTAATATTCACTTACATTTAATAATATTAAGCATTACTGTAAACAAAACTTTATGCTAAACACTGGGGATGGAGTGTAGAGGAAAACAGCCATGGGCCTACATTGGATATATCATTGATTATACTGGTCAGGATGGGAAAAAAACTTTTGTGGGATATAAATATTATATTGCATGTAAATGTAAAGGGAACAACAGTTTTTACTTGTATTTTTTATTATTTTTCTGTGACTGTCGCTAGGTACTAGCTGTGTCTCCTTCCTAAATTTGTTAGCATTCTCAAAAAAATAAAAAATAAAGATCTTAATGTAGAATAGGTTTAATATGGCAGTTCCTATGAAGTCATCTGAGGGAAAGACCCTATTGCTTGAAGTGTTTCTCTGGTTTCTCCTTGTCTGAATTTTTGCCATTAGAACTTCACTCTTTGGGGGTAAAGGATTGTAGAACTGCAGCCTAGTTTTATATGTTAGCAGGCAAGCTCTGAGAATACAAAGTCTTTGCCCAATGAAAGCATATAGAGAATACTTGGAACAATCATTATGAAGTAGTGAAAGAGATCTCTGAAGAAAAATTGGAGAGCAGATTTGAAATGTGTAAGAAAATCATCAGAATGCATAGAAATGTGTGGCCCATGAAGGAGATTGATTGTTCTAATGGAAGAGTGTCAGACTGAATGAAAGTGGAGGTGTGTTATGATAATTTTAAGGTAAGAAAAAACATAGTCATCTGGTTTTAATTTGAAGTGTTAAACTTCCCTCCTTTTAAGGTGATTTATATAGGATCTAGATTGTTGTACTGTAGTTCTCACATCAGATTATACAAGATGATGCAAACTGTACAAATTTCCTATAAGTTATATTGTGGTGAATATGAACTAATCTATTCCAGGGTTTATATCCTAACTTTTCTTGCATGTCACTGCCATTGAAACTTGCATGAAAAGCACTAACTGCGTTCTTTCTCTTCTCCCTGATTTGCTCCAAGGCTGCCAGACAGATCAAGGATAGGTATGGAATAAAACCTACATTTTTATTTAAGTGTTGATATTGAAGTCAGAAATGAAATTCAAGAAAAGTTTCTTAATAGAAATTGTTGGTTAAAATTAAAATACCTAATGGTCAGGTACAGAAAAAAAACAAACCTGCATATTTTATGGAATAAACAATATATATATTAGCAAGATTTTTAAAAAAGGTAGTTGTGGACAATTGTGTACTCCCAAAAGAATTTCATTTCTGGTATAATATAGTTAGTTTTAGTACAGTTCTTAATTAACTATGCTAATAGATAGGGAACCAATTTGAGTAATTAAAAAATACATATTCCTGGAATGCATTTTTGGTTGTTCTTAAATTTTATAGGCGTGCTTATTTTCTGAGAAGTCACAGCATTTTAAATAGTCTTCAGGAGCTAAAGCTCTCTTATTTCACTGCTCTCCTCTTTAACACCTTTGTATTCTCATTCCATCCTGCTCCTGGTGCCATCTCTTTCTCTTTCTAATGCCACTACTTTCTAGTTTATAGGAAGAGAAAATAATGGAAGACTCTAGCTTAAAAGGTCTTTGATAATGATAGAGTGAGGATTAAGAAGGTCCCAAAGGTTGTGGGTTCGATTCCAGGTCAGGGGAACATGCCTTGGTTGAAGATTCAGGTCCCCTGTCGGGCACCTATGAGAGAGGTCCCTGCTCCTGGTCGAGAGACAATTGATCCATGTTTCTGTCCCTCTCTACCTCCCTTCCCTCTCTAAAATCAATAAGCATGTCCTCAGGTGAGGATAATAAAAGGAAGCTGAGTACACTGAGTACTTACTTGCTAGTAATGAAGACAGAGGCTGAAGGAGCTGCTGGCAATTTTGAATTGGGTTACCCCAGAAAGGATGGTTCTGATCGGCCTGGGTAGTCACTGATCATTGACTATAGTGAGATGATCACTTACGTTCCTCATTTGAGGATTAGGGGACCCTCTCTACAGCACAGCTCTTCAGATCACCACTCTGAATCCTAGATGAAATTACTATTCATCAGATAATTTACAAAATTATTCACTACAGGTTTGTGAAAACCAGTGTCTCTATTGTTACTACTCTTAGCTGAAGACTTCAATTCCGTTTCTCTCATGGCTGTTTATTTGACTAGAGGCAAGACTAATATGACAGTCATAGCACTTTCAGCACAAATATTAATTTTAATATTTTTTCTATTTTTATAAATATAGGGACTGGTTAAAAACATGGATTATTCTTATAAGTCCCAAATATAGAAAGGTTATGACAATTTGAAGGTGAAAAGTATTGGTCATTTAAGGGTTGGATGCTAGACAGTTTTTTGGAAAGGTAGTTTGGGGTTGTATATGCTGGAATTCATTGTGAGTGATCCGTCTTCCATCCTGGCTAGATTCTTCTTCTATTTAGCCACCTACTCTGCTAAGCCCTGGTCCCTGATTATCTCAATTAGAAGTCACTTCCTAATCAGGCTTTGGGCTGTCCAAAGACTTTGTCAGAGACCTTGCAAAATCCTCCCTTGTTCTTCCCCCAGGAATCTCCATGGTTCTGTGCTTTCCAGAATTCTGTCCTTACCCCTGACTTCTTCTTCTTTGTCCAGATTTGTCTGTCAGAATTTAGTTTTATGATCAGTGTTCATGGCTGAATGTATTCTTTAGTGAAGCTTGATTTCTTTTCCTCTTCATCTAAGCCAACCTCTTGGCTTGGTTTCGTCAGTGTCCAAGTGATCTCAGGAGTCAGGGTTTCTTTTTTCTGCCAGGGCAAACTCCATTTATGTGTTTTATTTATTTATTTTTTGTTTTGTTATTCAAAGGCTATACTTTTTTTTTTAGACTCCCTACAAAATTTTTACTTTGTACCTAAGGAACATTTCTGGGTTTTGCCTTAAGTTTTTAAACTTGATTTTTAGTTTCATAATATCTAGGTTTCTCTGGACATTAGTTGTATGATATCCAAGCTTCTAGAAATCTATTATTGCCACTTATAATATAAAAATAAATATGTAGTCATAATAAAAATTATTTTCACTGAGGGAAGAAAGAATTATTCCCTTATCTGAGGGCAAAAGTGGTATTTTAAGGAAGAGTGTGTAACATACTTCCACAAGGAACCAAATATTTAAAAATTAAAGCATCTATGAGAACTCAGTATTTATCATTTTATGTGGCAGAAGTTATACAGGGGGAACAGCAGGAGTGACAGGAAACACTAAAGACAGAAATGAGAAGATAATAAATAGCAGATCTCTGCATCTTTACAAGGCAGTGGTACACACTTCTGGATGCTTAGTAATGTTAGAGGATGGTTAGTTGACGTACATTGTGGGAGTGACCAGTTCTTGAAGGAAAGGGGCCAGGAGAGGAAAGGTAAAGTTAATGAGGTAGGCGGTTTGAGGAAATTAAAAATGCCCATCTGTATATTTTGCAGTTATTTTTCTCTACAAAAATAAAATGAAGCAGAAAATTGATCCTTGAATTCAGTTTTACTATTAGAAATAAACCAAGAAAGTCAGGGTGAATTAAAACATTAAGATAATGACATGGATCCTGTAATATTATCTATGGATTTTAGATTGTTAGTGTGTGCTTTAGGGCACAATTGTCTGAAGATATTCAGTTTAAAAATAAAACGTTCAGTTTTTTTGAAAAATTCTAGCGCTGTTGTACATGTAACTTGATTTATGGAGACTGAAATCTGCATTGACTAAAAAATGAGTCTGTCTTTCTTTCTTTCTTTCTTTCTTTCTTTCTTTCTTTCTTTCTTTCTTTCTTTTTTTTTTTTTTAAGGCTTTGATAGACCCTCCTATTGCACTTTGGGGGAACTTATTTTTTCAGGCCATAGTGGTTAAATAAAGTTTTGCAGATAAAGTTTCAGATTTAAATTTCCTAAAATACTTTTAGATATCTTTTCTCAGCAGTTCAAAAATGCATTTAAACAATCAGGTTGGAAGCAACTAAGTAGGTTCAAACCCATTCATTGATTCAGTGGGCATTTACTAAATACCTATCTGAATGCAGCTCTTTCAGAAGCCTTTCAACAGACTTTGTTCCTAATGTGTTGTTGATATAATCTGAAATGTTATTATTGAGAAGGAGCAGCTTAAAGTAGTATGAGAAAAACACTCAGTTCATTAAGTCTGTGGGTTCCCTTCCCCATAAATTGTATTTCAGGGTTTCACTGTAGCACTTTCTTCTTGATAAATAGGTTAGTTAACTTTGTTTCTAAATAAAGTGATTACTTTCCTAGTTTTAAAATGAAATAAAGTAACTGAATATAGCCTTTTTCATCTTAAAATAAGTGAATACAATAACAAGTTGGATATCTTTAATACCTTTGATCTCTAGAGTAGCTTTGGCAGCTCTGAAAGACTAAGCCTGGTATTCTCTTTGTTCCTCCAGCTCTATTTACTTCCTCTCCCCAATTGTGTACTAGGAGTAGAGCATTCATGAATAGTACTTTTCTCTTGTTTTTTGACAAAAGATAATAAAGGAAGTTGTGATTCTTGTGGAAATTTCCTGTAATGTGAAAAACTGAAATTTGAGCTAAAATGACAGATTAATAGAACATGATAATTCCCTTTCTTCCCAGCTTTAATTGACAGAACAATTTCCCTATACTGTGGGTAAAATGAGGTCTGTTATGGCTTCTTTCTTTTTTTGTGTTTTAGTTTTTATACCTCATTCATCTAATGCGTATTTATTGAACTCCTATTATTTCTACGGCATGTGGTTGCACAGGACTGTTCTTCCTGTATCCTTTCCCTGTAGCTGATGTTGATACACCAGGGGGACACCTACTAGTGATTTCACTTCTCTCCTTTCTCATCCATGGCCTCTCCTTAGCAGCTACCATGCTATACAGTATTTGGTCAGTATACCTCTACTCTTACTTGACGATACGTGGAGTAGCTGTCACTCCTAGGGAGAATGTTTGAACCAGGGTGCACGCACAGTTCCTTGTTTGGCGTATGAAAAGAGCAAGGCTGGCATCAGGACGTCAGTAAGACTGAGTGTACAGAGGGTTAGATGGCTGTTGGGTCTGCTAAAGATGATTTTATATCGAGTATTTGTCTCTTGTGATACTTGTATGCAGCTTTATAAAACTCGCTGGAGGAAAGTTCTTTAAAGTTACCTTAAATGTCTTTAAATTTAAAAGCATTTTACAGTTTTTAATTAGTTAATTTTCAAAGACTAAGCACATTTCTCTTTAGTTTTGTTATTTTTGTTGAAGTTTCTGAAATCATGAGGGTGAAGTAATTTGTCTTTTCATTTTATAAATTAAATATATGATACTTCCCATTCTTTTAGTTTTAAAAATATGTTTGTGTTTGCCGTAGAGTAACAATGGCTTCAGCCTTCCGCCTTTCTTTGAAGCCAAAGGTCAGTGACAACATGACTCATTTAATGGTGGATTTTTCTCAGGAAAGACAGATGTTGCAAACTTTGAAGTTTTTGCCAGGTAAGTAAGTACAGATACTTTATGTAAAGTTATATATAAAAAATATTTCTTTCTGCAAGATTTTTCTGTGTGAACATTGGCATGTAACTATTAAAGAAATATAGCATGATTTTTTTTCTTTCGTTCAGCTAAGGAATGTTTAAATGTGCTAGTCTTTATTTTTAGAAAATTATTTACTGGTATATAAATATCATTTTTAAGAATCCCATTAAGGGATATATTTTATCATCAGTTTTGAGAGAAGCAGTACACCACAATGGTTAACACTGGGTCTTACACCCGAGCTTCTTAGATTTGAACCTTGGCTGCCACTTACTTGCTGTGTAACCTTGAACAAGTTATTTAACTTTGCCTCATTTTCTTCATCTTTACAATGTGATGTTATCCTTCTAGGGTTTTTATAGGGATTAAATGAATTGAAATCTCTGAAGCTTTTGAAATAGTACCTGTCACAGACTTAATACTCAATGAATGTTAGCTGCTACCATTACCATTACCATTATTGTTGTGTTTGCTGTTGGCTCAGGTGGAATTTTACTTTCAGTAGTAATGTTAACATTGGTTTATTAGAGTAGTAGTATGATGATATTTCAGTAGCCAAAATCATTTGAAATCAAGTCCCAAATTATTTGTCCACATGTGTGAAAGAGCCAGTTAAAGACCCTTTGATTAGTATTCTCTTTTTACCCAGCATCAAGTAATATTAAGTTGATATCTAAAACAATTTGGACATGGTGATTTGAGGGATCAGAAAATCTCTTGAAAATGAAGTGTTTACTGAAACTGTTGCTTAGTTTACTTAAACAGAACTGCATTTCATTTTTTAGAGGTTAGCTGTTTTTGAATAGATAATGTTGATATGAAAACATTCTTCCCTGAATATTTGATCAGGGATTTAAAATGTGATTGGAAAAGCAAGGTTAATAGTCATGAAACTAATGGAACTAGTAAGGGTAGCATAAGTGAAGTATTAACTTGTGACATATAGATCGGAAGTTCTAGAGGAGTTAATAGAAGAATAGAAAAGAGGAGGAACTATAGTTACAGATGAAGAAAGTATACTTGTTGTTGGATATCCACCTATAAATTGGCCTTTCAGAATCACTAACCATTATGTTATCATTCGCACTATTTCTAAATTTAGAACAATCGGGAGTGGTGGGTTGTGAATGTACACACATGAGGGTTTTTTTTTTAATTTAAAAAAAACTACTAAAAAAGTAGTCTCACTATTACTTTCTCTTGTTTTCAGTAATATCTTAACAGACCAAGGCCATGCCTACTGTACAACCAAGTAGATTGCATGCACAATTAGGATTTTTTTTGGAAGACTGTTAAAACAGTCTAAAGGAATAAGGTATAATTTAAAAAAAAATCCTTTTGGGGAGGAGTTTCATCCCTAAGGAAAAGCAGAATAGGTTGTTTAAGTTTATGAAAGATGAATTTATATTACCAATTTTTAATATTCTGTTTTAGCATAAAAACTTGCTATAAGATGCAATCAGGTTAAATAAAAAATGAATACCTTTATCCCTTATAATTCATTCCATAGATACTACAAAAATCAACTACCCTGCATTATATGTAGTACATGAGTTGTGGACTTATCTGAGTCTGAAAAGTGGAAGCGATGATGATGGATAATTGCAAAGTCATTTTCTTCCACTTTAAGGCATTTTAAAAAATACTTTAAAACTTAGTGTTTATATTTTCCTTTCTGAGTTTCTACAGCTAGAAAGAGAAACATGTTTGTGGCAATATCGATGCCACTTGTACTTTTACATTCACACTCAGAGAAAACCTTAGCAAAATTCTTGAACCAGTTTCCACACTATCAGTAGTTAACTGTTGTTTTATGGGACTTGCCATGAATTGCTTTTCATTCTCATTTTCAAAGAGAGCTCTGCATTTTCTTTCTTTTTCTTTTTTTTTTAAATCCTCACAGAGGATACGCTTAGAGAGGAAAGGAGAGTGAAAGGAGGGGAGAAGGGGAGGAGGGGAGGAGGGCGGGACGGGGGCAGGTTGGAGAGGAACACTGCTGAGTTGCCTCACCTTTGCATCCCACGGGGCTCAAACTCAAAAGCCAGGTGTGCGCCCTGACCAGGAATCAGACTTGCGCAGGAGCAACTGAGCCACTCAGCCAGGGCAAGAGAAGAGAGTTCTTCATTTTCTAAATAATGTTATATTTTTATACGAAATTTTACCACCTTTCATCTTCCCATGAAGTTTTTATCTTTCATTCAATGAGTTTTTTCTTCTGTATAGAATCTTGGGTGCTCTTCCAACATATATTAGATTTAAGTCAACCTTAATTTGACATACACTCTTAAATTATCTAAATTTTCCTTTTTCTTCCAAAGAATCACCATTTTCTTGGATTTTTTTCATTTTTACCTTGTTACCACTTTTATTTAGCAGTTTGCTTTCTTTTGAGGGCCACTATTTACAAGAAAGAAGAATATACTTCCTTGTAGATTCCTAATGATATGGTAGCTGAATTGAGGTGTATATAGTTGGGAGTTAGCCAGACCCACTTACAAATTAAGTGACTCTGTCTTTACCAGCTTCTTGGTACTTTTGGTATAGGTTTTTGACTTGGCAAAATTATAAAGTTACTACATGCCAAATAGGTGTTTACATTTCGTCACATGTAGGCAACACAGAGCATATTAAATTCATGAATGCCTGTGTTCCATTGTCTTGGCAGTGAATTGCTTATATTTCAGAATAGAGATTAACATCTGTTGTGTATTATAGGGACAAAAACCCCACGAGACAGGTGAAGGAAATTAATTATAATGACAAGTGACAAATATTTCTTTGGTTGTCTGTTGTCTTACTAATAAGGTATATCAGATTCCAAATATTTATTGTACAGTTACACATGCATAAGAGTTGAACTTTGGAGACTATAATTAATGGAGATCAGTTCTGCCTCTCTTCCTCCTGCTCTTTCTTACTAGTAGGCTTGAAGATTTAAAATTTATATCAGATTCCTTTCATCTCCATCCAAGACATTTTTTATCCAAAACATTTACTTTGTTAGTTCTTACTTTGCTTTCTATTTTAACTGTTGTATATAATTTCTTTGTCGTTACTGTAGTTTTTTAAATTAATGCTTTGTTTTAAAGCAGGTTTAGGCTTATGGAAAATAGAGCAGATAATACAGAGAGTTACCTATACTTTCCTCCTCTCCACATGTAATGTCCCCTTTTAGTAACATCTTGCATTAGTATGGTACCTTTGTTATAATTGATACATTATTATTAACTAAAGCCCATAGTTTACATTAGACTTCACTCTTTGTGTTATACAGTTCTATGGGTTTCGACAAATGTATAATGTCATGTGTGCACCATAATATTATCATATAGAATAGGTTCACTACCCTAAAACTTCCCTCTACTCTGCCAGTTCATCCTTTATATCCTGCAACCTTGCTATAATCTCTTACTAGTTTCAGGAATTTTTTTCATTTATTCTTTCGAATTTTCTCCATAGATAATCATGTCATCAGCGAATAAAGACAGTTTCATTTCTTCCTTACTGATTTGTATACCTTTTACTTCCTTTTTTGTCTTAACTGAGTTTAGCTAGAGCTTCCAGAACAGTGTTGAATGGCAGTGGTGAGAGGGACATCCCTTGCCCTAGGGGAGAAATTTCTAATTTCTCAACATTAAGTGTGATGTTAACTATAGGGCTGTTTTTTTTAATATGTTCTTTAAAAAGTAAAGCTTCCCCCCCGCTTCCTAGTTTTCTGAGAATTTTTGTCATGAATGTTTGGATTTGTTAAGTGTTTTTTCTGTTCGTTAATAAGATCATATGGTTTTTCTTCTGATATGATAGATTACATTAATTGATTTAAAATGTTAAACCATGCTTGCATACTTGTAGTAAATCTTTTAAAACTTTTTTCTTTTAAGTGACAAAATGTTTAAATACAATACCTACACAGTTTTACACATTTCAGACACATCTGTATCACTGGAGGACCACGTTCTTCAATTAGCCTGTTATGTAAAACATCTGTTAATGTTGAGGAGTTATAGAAAAATCTCTTTTATGGAAAAGAAATAGATTAATATTCACATGTTAATTGTGGCTCCTTTATCCCAATTTATTCTAATGATTCATAGAACTCTTTGAAGAAACATTTAAAAATTCCTAAGTATTTTCGAGACTTGGGGAGTTCATTTCTGTTTAGTGCTGAGAAGTTACAATTATTTTATAAACAAGATTTTAAAAAGACATTGAAAATAACTTGAATTATTATAATTATTGGAGTCAAAGCAAGGTACTCTGTTTTTGAAATAGATTAAAAGTACGTGTTGAGAAACAACAAATTCTTGATTCTTGATTCTTAGCATCTTTGAATTACTTTTTGCTAACTAGGTTTTAATAAACTTTGAGTAAGTCTATTAAAAAACTTTGAAACATGAATTTTTAAACAGAGTTTTGAAAAATAGTTATTTTGCATTTATAGGCAAACTAACTCTTAGCCTGATTCAGTTGAATAATTCAAAAGCAACATGAAAAACCATAGTTTGAATGACAGACATAACAATTGAGTTAGTACTATAATAAATGAGAAATGAACCTTTTTTTTCCCTTCAGTCCCCAAAGCTCCAGAGATAGATCCAGTAGACTGTTTGGTGGCTGACAACTCTGTAACAGTAGCTTGGAGAATGCCAGAAGAAGATAACAAGATTGACCATTTCATATTGGAATATAGGAAAACCAATTTTGATGGACTTCCACGTGTAAAGGATGAGCGATGCTGGGAAATAATTGATAATATTAAGGGTACTGAATATACACTATCAGGTAAAATGACTGCATTTTATGAATCTTTCTCAGATAATAAAATTTTGAGAAATATTTTGAATTACTTTAAAAGAATAATATTAAGTTTTTTTAGTCAAGTGACTTTTTTTAATCCTCACCTGAAGATATGTTTGATTTTTAGAGAGCAAAAGGAAGGGGGTGGGTGAAACATCAGTAAAAGAGAAACATTAATTGGTTGCTTCCTGTGTGTTTCCTGACTGGGGATCGAACCTCCAACCTAAGTATGTGCCCTGACCAGGAATCAAACCCACAGCCTTTTCTGTCTGTGGGATGACGCTCCATCCAACTGAGCCACCTGGCCAGGGTGCTAAGTGACTTTTTATTTATTCATTATACAAGTGAATTCCTCTTAAAATATCAAGAAAACCTTCATTTAAATTACTTCTGGATTTTTGCAACCTGGTAAAACAATGTATGTACAACAGACATGAAGGGATATTCTGGAAATAATGTTTTAGAATAATGTTTAATTTTTACTGTGATTTTCTTTTTAATTTTCCTTTTTATTGAATTTATTAGGGTGACACTGATTAACAAAATTAAACAGGTTTCAAGTAAGCAGTTCCACAACACATCATCTGTATACTGTATTATGTGTTTACCACCCCAAGTCAAGTCTCCTTCCATCACCATTTATCCCCCCACACCTAACAACAGAAAAGCTGTCAATTTCCTGGATGTAGACAACTTTTCCACAGATGTTGTTGCCTTTACCCTTTTATGATTACCTTCACTGTAATACCTAAAAAAGTAGAACTGTGACTTGGAATTAGAAATTTGTTTGTTGGCCTCTTGAAAGTCTTTAAAAAGACATCTCCATAAATAAGGAGGGACTTTGGGTATTTAAAATGGTTGAATGTTCCCCAAGTAGTTAAACTCTTACACATGATCAGCAATAATATTAGCTTTACCATTATTGAACAGTCATCCTTTGTCAGGAGCTGGGCTGAAATGTATTACACAATACATCTCATTTAATATTTACAGGTATGAAGTTGGTTTTATTATTTCTGTTTTACAGATACAAAAATACGGCTCTGTCATGTTGAAACTCCCATAGCTAACAAATTTTGGACTATTTTAATCTAGATATGATTAATTTAAGAGTTTTGGCACTAATCCTGTACTTCACTTATGCTTTAAGTTTATTTTTCACTTAAAAAGACAATGTTTCATAAATATAAAAATTCCTTAGGGTGTCTACTTCCCATAAATTGAATGTTGTTTTAAATTGCAGCATCTATTTTGAATGAAACATCACTTTTAATGAGGCTTGACAGTACTTTCTTGTCACTAAGTTTTAGAAAAACCTCATTGATGAACTGTATAATTTATTTCTTTTGAAGAAAATAATATATTAGTCACGAATCCTCTAAATTTAGGCATTATTATTATTTCAACATGTTTTTAACATTTTCTATTGTTATTCTATTACCGTTGTCCCGTTTTTCTCCCCTCACCCTCCTCTGCCCAGCCCACTCCCCACTCCCACAGTCCCAAACTGTTGTTTATGTACCTGCGTCATTCATACATGCAACATAAATTTATATTTTTTCTGAGTGAGTAAAGAGAAAGTTCCAAAGAGGGAAAAATGTCTGTTTCAAGCTTCATATTCATATTTTTGGGGTAGATCCTTTACTTTTCATGTCTGAAAACCATTTTCATTTTTTCAGGCTTAAGGTTTGATTCAAAGTATATGAATTTCAGAGTGCGAGCTTGTAACAAAGCTGTGGCTGGAGAGTATTCTGACCCAGTGACTCTAGAGACCAAAGGTAAGATTGATAGCTGTTCATGCAGTGTAAAACAAAACAAATTCTGAAGGTGTCTGAGGCTTCGTGACCGGAAGCATCTTATGTATGGTTGCATTCCCTTCTCCACCCACCCGGAATTCCCAATAGGAATTTTAAGATGGATAAATTAGGACTCCAGTAGTACTTTTCTTTAGTTTTTCCCTTTATCATGGTATTCATATAGGTAAAATAGACTGAGATGACAGTGTTATATTCTTATGTGGGTGCTTAGTTTACAAATTTCAGTTTAGTATAAATATATAAACATCACTGAGATGTGTCCAAAGTTTTCCCAAGGAATTGATTATGGCTCAGTAATGGGGAAGTACCTTTTGTTTAGTTCAGGTCTTCCCTGTTTTCTTAAATCTTGTAGACGTTAACATTTATATAGTTAATTAATGTTGACAAAGCACTCTCAGAGTTCTTCATTTGATCATTAAAACCAGTCTGGAAGATCAGTATGAATAGATATTGTTGGTAGCCATTTTGCAGAAGAAAGGTGAAGTTCAACTATGTTCAAAGACTTGCCTATGGATCCCTGGAACTAGCTTGGAAAGATGTGAATAAGAATCCGTTTCCAGCCCTGGCTGGTGTAGTAACCCAGTTGGTTGAAGCATGGTCCCGTAAACTGAAAGGTCATGGGTTGATTCCAGGTCAAGGCACATGCCTAGATTGTGGGTTCAGTCTGGGTTGGGGTTGTACAAGAGGCAACCAGTTGATGTTTCTCTCTCACGTCGATGTTTCTCTCTCGCATCAGTGTTTCTCTCTTGCGTTGATGTCTCTCTTTCTGTCCCTCCCTTTTGCTTTCTCTAAAATTAATAAGTATGTCCTCGGTTGAGCATTTAAAAAAAAAGAAAAAAATCTGTTTCCAGATTCTGCGCCAGCCCCTATTGAAGGCGTGAACCTAGGTGTTTAAAGTCTATGTGAGCATTTTGGATTTAGTTAAAACTCCCTAGAGAGTTTTACATTCCATATTTTAACACAGAAGATTTTTCAGGTATTTATCTATTTGGAGGTCACAGTGGTGAGATGGTAACGGACTTGATTTACTTCCAGAATCCGATTCCGCACAATCAGATCAGAATCAGATTATTGTAGATACTTGGGCCTTCCAGTGTTCCGCTGATCTCTAGTTTTAGAGATTGAATAGGTGTGCATGCCAGAAGTTTGATATGGTTTGGAGGAGGGCATAAAAATATCATAGAATAAAACAAAATAGGCTCTCCTAACTTTTGACAAGATGAACTCAGAAGAATATGTTTGTATCACAAAGGTAAATAAAAAACCTAAGTTGAAATATTTTGTTTGGATTAGTACATGTTTTTTATTTGAGAACTATAGATAACTCAGCCAAGAAAGGTAGTTACTTTGAATTCATTGTTATCAAACTGAGTCATTACTGTAGTTTCTTGATTTTTTTACCATTTCAAAGTAGTCATATTTATAGGCAGATAGCCTTTTCTACATAATTGGAACTATGTCAGGTGAAATTGCATTCTCCTCCCTCAGGCATATTGTATCTTTTTATTTCTTTTATTCCTTCATATTTACCCTTTACATTTAGTGGCCAAACTTGGTCCTAAATGTGGCGAATTGTAAACTTCAATGCAAACTCAGTAGAATCAGGAAAATGAATAGCTGGCTTATAGTCTCCTTGGAGCTGGGCTGGCTGCTCTTATTTGCTGTATCTGGATCTTACTAGTTGACTAGTAAGAATCAAATTCTTGATTTTAGGATTTGTAAGGAAAGACTAGTTAATCCTTGTTTTTTCGAACATTTCTCACCATGTGATGGACCCCTGGGGTGTGGATAGTCTGGAACTCAACCCTGAGGCCCACTGAACAGTGACTTTGAACTTCAGGGAGATCCAGAATAAAAGCTGTCTCTTAGCCCTGGCTGGCATGGCTCAGTGGATTGAGTGCCAGCCTGCAAACCAAAGGGTTGCCGGTTCCATTCCCAGTCAGGGCACATGCCTGGGTTGCAGGCCAGGTGCCCAGTAGGGGCATGCGAGAGGCAACCACACATTGATTTTTCTCTCCCTCTCTTTCTCCCACCTAAAAATAAATAAATTTCTCCTCTCTCTAAAAATAAATAAATAAGTCTTTTTAAAAAACTGTTTCTTAAATAGCTGTGGGTCACAGATTTTTCTAAAGTTACCCTATAGCACTAGAGTGGTTATTAATAAGAACGAGAGATTCAGAGGAAAAGTCCAGATTTTAAAAAAATGACATGTTGAACTAATTCTCTTGGCTTGCTGTAATTGTTGTTGACCAAACAATAGAATTAAGTGTATGAAAAAAGAACTGGAGGGAACGGGAGAAAGATGGAGATTAAATACTTGAGGCTTATCTACCTAAATTCATATCCTGCTACTTATGGAGCTTGATGTGGAAAATAATGAACATTTTTAATTTCTGTCTCCCCAGTGTACGTAGCACTATTTCTTCTGTCATTGGAATTGTCAAAACTGATGCATAATATAAGTTCTTATGACAAGAATTTTAAAAGTATATTATCCCTTACTTCCTTGTAAAGGTAAATGATACAATATTAATCACAATTTACTCTGGCCTCAAATGGTAACGGCTGTAATGTTTTACAAAACCAGGAAAGCAGCCACTGATACACATTAAACTTTGAAATGTTTCTGTACTCTGAGATTTTTGGTACTTTGTTTTCACAGACTCCTAAAGATATGGACGCTAATATCAAGCTATATTACAGGGCTTATATAAGAGACATGACTAACATTTGAGACCTTGCTTTTGAGATGTCTTATTTTTTAAAAACCTATGCAGTAGTATCCCTTAATAACTTGTTGAGCTTCCATTAAGGGATAGCTTTGAGAGAGAGAGAAGGGGAGAGAGAAAAAGAGAAAGAGAGGGAGGGAGGGAAAGAGGGAAAGATTTTATGCTCCTGGGATTGAAACCCATGCCTTTTCGGTTGGGTGCTGTGGTGTTTGATGAGTCTGGTCTCAGGTGGCTTGGGAGTGATACCTTTTCTTTCATCCTGTTTTTTTTTTTCCTGTTATCACCACATTTTTCTTTTTTTTTCATTCTCTTTTTATTTTTTTAATTTTTTATTGTATTTTTTCCATTACTGTTTAATCCCTTTATGCCCTACCCACCGCAATCACACCACACTGTTGTCCACGGTCCATGAATCCTTTTTCCTTTTTGCTCAGTCTCTCCATCCCTTAACTGTTATCACCCTTCCCCCCGACCTTGGCTGTCATCCTGCTTTCTATCTATAAGTCTGTCTCTGTTTTCCCTTTAGTTCAGTTTTTTCATTAGATTCCACATAGGAATAAAATCATATGGTATGTCTTTCTCTGACTGACTTATTTCACTTAGCATAGTGTTCTCCAGGTCCACCCATACTTTCTAAAGGGTAAAACTTCTTTTTTACGGCTAACTAGTATTCCGTTGTGTAAATGTCCCATAGTTGTTTTATCCACTCATCTACTGATGGACACTTGGGCTGCTTCCATATCCTGTGATTGTAAATAACACTGCCAAGAACATAGGGAAGCTTAAGTTCTTTTGAATTAGCATTTTGTATTCCTTAAGATATATTTGCAGAAATTGGATTGCTGAGTCAAAAGGCAGATCCACTTTTAATTTTGGGGGATATCACCACACTGCTTTCCACAGTGGGTGCACCGATCTGCATTCCCACCAACAGTGCAAAAGGGTTCCTCTTTCTTCACATCCTTGCCAGCACTTGTTGTTTGTTGGTTTATTAATGACAGCCATACTGACAGATGTGAGGTGGTATCTCATTGTGATTTTAATTTGCATTTCTCTGATGATTAGTGATATTGAGCATCTTTTCATATGTCTGTTGGCCATCTGTATGTCTTGTTTGGAGAAGTGTCTGTTCAGGTCCTTTGCCCATTTTTTAATTGGGTTGTTAGTTTTTTTGATGTTGTGTTTTTTAAGGTCTTTATAAATTTTGGATATTAACCCTTTATCAGATGTATCAGTAAATATGTTCTCCCATTTTGGTGGTTGTCTTTTCATTTTGTTAATGTTTTCCTTTGCTGTGCAAAAACTTTTTAGTTTGAAAAGTATAGGCCGATATCCCTGATGAACATAGACGCTAAAAAGCTCAACAAAATATTAGCAAACTGAACACAGCAATGCATCAAAAAGACCATACACCATGGTCAGGTGGGATTTATTCTAGGAATGCAAGGTTGGTACAACATTCCTTAATGGATAAATGTGATTCGCCACATAAACAAAATGAAGGATAAAAACCACATGATCATATTACTGGCTCTGTAGAGGGAGGGTTTAGAAAAGTGACAGAGGTCGGTCACCTTGATGCCAGATACTTCAGTTCCTCCCTGTATGCCTCTGGGGCCTTTCAGGCTGCTATCCCAGTACTGGAGCTCGGAGAGAGTGAGTCTGAGTAGGTGAGTCTGTGTGTGGGTTCTTTAAGAGGAACTGCTTGGGGCTGTAACAGTTTTTTCCACTGACTTTATCCCCACTGGTTTTTGCAGCCAGAAGTTATGGGGGTTTATCTTCTTGGCACTGGAATCTTGAGCTGAGGAGCCTAGTGTGGGGCTGGGACTCCCTGCTCCCGAGATACCCCTCCCAAATTTGTATCCACCACACGTTGGTGAGGGAACAACCTGATCCACATCTGTGCCTCTCCTACCAGTTGGACAGATGTGGTTTCTTTAATTCTCTAGTTGTCAGACTTCCATTCGACTCTATTTCTGATGGTTCTGAGTGATGGTTGTCCCATAATTTAGTTGTAATTTTGATGTGATTGTGTAAAGAGGTCAGCCATATCTGCCTATGCCATTTTGACCGAAAGTTCCAAGTTTTCTTAATCCTAACTTGTTTCTGTATTTTAGAGAAAGAGGGAGAAGAAGGGAGAGAGAGAAAGAAAAAGGAACGTCACTTTGTTGTTCCCTTATTTATCCATTCATTGGTGGTTTCTCATATGTGGCCTGACCAGGAATATAACCTGCAACCTTGGCGTACTGGATGATGCTTTAACCAATTCAGTAGGAAAATGATATGATGGTAGTTGTGCTTCATAAATTGGAGATGTGCTACATTTTAACAAAATTGAAATATTGTTTTTTATAGCACTTAACTTCAGTTTGGATAACTCATCATCCCATTTAAACCTGAAAGTTGAGGATACCTGTGTAGAGTGGGATCCTACTGGAGGAAAAGGTCAAGAAACTAAAATTAAAGGAAAAGAGAACAAGGGCAGGTAAGATAGTTCCTTAAATCTGTTATCTGGACAAATGCTTTGTACATTGATTCTTATTTGACAATAACTTATGATGAAATTCTTATTCTGTGTATCAGTATGGTTTAGGATATGTTGGTAACACAAAAGAGAAGCATATAATATTTCTGGTCAACTCTTGAATTTGTCACTAACATTTTTGTTACTTTTTCTTAGTTTCTTTTCTAATTCTCTCCTCACACATTTTTATTTCAGTATTCCATTTCTTTAAAGTTATATGTACAGCAACTTGAAGGGCTTAGAGGGGAGTTCCTAGAAGAGTTCCTGAATCTTAGATCACCAGTCTTAGCTGATCATCTGCCTTGAATGGCAGACTTTAGCCTTGCCTCCATCAGCAATCTTATGAACCAAAAGCTTGGGAACTTTTAGTTGTTGTTAGACTTATTTAAATAGTCTCAAAGTATGGAGCCTCTTTCTTTTTTAACAGAGGAAAATTTTTCTCAAAATGAAAAGAGAGTATCACTGTGAGTTAACAGTGAATCAAAAAAAGAAATTCCTCATCAGGCTTTTGATCTAATTTGATTATAGGCTATTAAATTTAAGTTGTGAAGCACTCTTAACAGTTACCTGTTTTTATCTGACAGTGCCCATGTTACTTCACTGAAGAAACATACAAGGTGATGATCTATGTCTGTCTAGTTCTAGGACTTAGCGTACCTAGCTTGGCTGAATAATTTTTTTTTTTCTTTAACCAATAAGCAGAAGCCATTGCAGCAGCCTTCAAAAACTAAAATATGCTCTGTGTGGACTGTCTGTATTGGTAGCTTATGTTTTGAATTTATAGCATTAAAGTGTGCTGCATATTTGGATTATATTGTATATGATAACAAAACAATAAGCTCTGCTTAAAGTCTTCCTTGAATTATTTTCTCTCATCTGACTTTTTTCCTGCATTTACTTATCCCTGGCATCTATCTTTTTGTGCTGCATTTGGTATATCTAACTTTATAGCTTTGCTTTTTTTTTGTATTTGACATGAGGCAGGTTTGAGGTGGTCTGTGTTTCACAACAGTCTTGCAGTTTCGAAAGCATCAGGATAAAAAGTAAAAGTTATTAGTGAAATTATTAGTACAGTGACAGAAAGATGAATCAATTCAAATTGCATAGTTAATAATGTGCTGATCCACATATCTTTATCAGAAACCAGAATGTGTTCTCTTTTCAAAATTGCCTTTCTTTTTTCTAGTTTATTTGCTCAGTGGCAAAAGTGATTTCATAGGTAGTATATAAATTATAAAATGCTGCTGGATTTAATAGTCTATAAAGTTTCATTTGGTCACCTGGAGAGTTTTAGACTGCTTATATTTAGCATTTCATATCATATCATTTCTCTCTCTCCCTTCTCTCCTTTTAAAGATATTTTATATGTAGGCTCCTTCTGGAATATCATATACATTTATTCTTTCCATAAATATTTGTTCCCTGTAGAATGCCAGCTGGATATTGTGGGGTTTATAGAGATAAATACTGACCCTGCCTTCAATAAATTTTCCCTGGCTTATGTAGATGAGACATATCTATATACAAATAACAATAATGCAGGTAGAGAGTATGTGTAGTGGAAAGTGTGAATGAAGGAATTAGAGGAAGAAGTACGAAGTTGCCAAGTGTTGAAGTGGTCATTTAGGACATTTCAGTGAGCCAAACGGAAAGTAACAATCAAGCCTTTTATTCACTGACTGATAGTATAAGTAAGAGGCCACAAAGGAAAGGGTGCTAGCTCTCCCAGTGTTCCATTTTCCCAACAGAATGAGGTAAGCGTCCGGTAAATCAGAGCAGATTACAGATGGTGGATATCATCTCACTGCTGAGAAAGCCCCAAACAAAAGGCTCATCCTGTTGTTTATGGACCTGAGGCCAAGAAGAAAGAACAGGAAAGGTTAGAAATAGAAAATTATTGAGACAGAGGGGAGAGAAGTGTCTTCATATATCACCCCTGATCCCGGCCCCCTTCATGGAGGTTCCTGGAGGCAATGGAAAGGGTCTCATTTGAGGGCCCCTACCTATGAGGGGATCTCTGAATAGAGGTGCCTAAGCTAGGAGTGCAGATATGCATATGGGGTAGGGACAGGGGATTGCAACTGCCTCCAGAAACTGTAATGAACTGGCTGAGCACCAAGTCTGGTGTCGGAGAGGCAGCCCCCTGCCACCAGGCCTGCAAATTAAAAGCCTTTACAGTTGAACTATGGTTGGGCCTGAAAGAATACACATAGGATTTTGGTCTGGAGCTAGACTCATCAAAGAGTTATCTTTAGCTTTATAGGATCTGGGAGCTCTTCATGAAAGCAAAGGTATTTAGGTTCATTTTCAAGAAAGGAAAAGAATGTGTGGCATTGGACTTGCAGTTAGGGAGAAACAAGAGGAAAGACATGAAAGACAGAAAGCAGGAAGCAGATGCCTGAGTTTAGGGAACACTTCAGCTGCTACATTTAACTGGGTAGTGCTCCCTAGGGGTGAAAAAGCTGGAAAAGCAGATTGGGACCAAATCAAGAAGAACTGAAATGCCAAGCTGAGTGGTTTGTAGGTAGTAAAGAAGGACTTGAAGATTTTAAAGTAAGAAAATCAGAGTTAAGTTTATCTGGTAACTGAGCAAAATGAATTGGGTAACAAAGAGATCATTTGGAAGTTGGTAAAACAATTCAGAGTAGAGGTAACAAAGAGTCTTAATGCAAATAGATAAGTGCCAACACGTCCTTAAAGAGATTGGGGTAGCATGTTTGACATAAGACAATAGCTGTTGTACTTCTTGCAAAAATGTACTTTGGGTCAGAAGTCTGGAATGCTGCAGTGGCAGAGTTCTTATTTAACTTTTCTCTGAAATTTAAACTGCCATTCTCAGTAGTTATGTTTGTTTTTCTTTTCTTCATGCCTTCCTTTTATTTCTTTACTACGGGTAAGTTGTAAATCTTTTGTTTTTTAAATGCAGTAATTCAGTATCATTGAAATATTAAATTTTAACCTTTTTTGGATTTGATTTATTCTGAGTTTTTGAGTTAGTGAAAGGCCTAATACTGCCCAATTTACCATATCATATAATTTGATATGAGGGGAGGTCAGGTTGGATCTTGTCTGTTATAGTAGGAGAAATGCCTTTTTAATACTTGACATTATCCAATGCATAGATCTGGGGAATTGCTATTTCTCTTTTTAAGAAGAAAGATCCAGAACAAGAATACATACTGCTTACGAAAAAGATCATTTAGTTTTGACTGTAATAAGCTTATTTTTGCCTTTCCTTCTGTTTAAATTTAACTGCAAGAAATGTAAGCTATAATACATTAGCTTTCTTGAGTTCATTTTTTCCCTTTGTACCTCATTTTGGCATTGTTTCTTATTTCAACTGTGTGTTCTTTGTATGAGCCTTGCTCAGTCTGCATGATGTTAGCGTTTTTAGCCTGCTTTGTGTTGATGACTTCTGATATTTGAGTGTTTATCATTGACAGCTCTGTATAATAATTCAGATAAAATTAAATGGTGCTATTTGTGCAACAAAATTAAAAAATCTTTTCAAAGCTTTCTTTCCTGATTTGTAATTTTAGTTTATGAAAAACTTACAACATAGAACGTTTGTTTTTCTTTTTGTTCCTGTTTATATAGAAGTGGTACACCATCCCCCAAACGGACATCTGTAGGCTCCAGGCCACCAGCAGTAAGAGGCAGCAGAGATCGTTTTACTGGGGAATCATACACAGTGCTGGGTAGGATAAAAATAATAGTTCTTCATTATCTCATATTAAAGTCACCACAGTCATACTGGTGGACTTCCGACTCACTTAAAGATGGAGTGACTGCATGTATATTAAATGAATCTTTGCCTAAATTTCTCCCTCTTGAAGCCTAATTACTTTGGCAGGTTTTCAAATTGGCTTATTATTGATATGTTTAAAACTTAATTCATTTTTACATAGTACCCCAGATATATGTATAATTCCTGAGGGGATACTTAGGAGGAAAAGTTCTTAGGCTTTTTATGTTCAGAAAAATTAGTAATATCTAAGTAAAGTTATATCAGATACTCTCCAATTAGTGTCTGTGTGTGAACATCCTGAATCAGATATTTTTGTGCCATTTTATGGGAAAAGGGATAGGTACAGATCTGTGTGACTCATAGGAAAAGGTAAGAATCAAATTTACCTTCCTGGTCTTTTGCAGGAGACACTGCTATTGAAAGTGGACAACATTATTGGGAGGTCAAGGCCCAGAAGGACTGTAAATCCTACAGTGTGGGAGTAGCATACAAGACTTTGGGGAAGTTTGACCAGTTAGGAAAGACAAACACTAGTTGGTGTATTCATGTCAACAACTGGCTGCAAAACACGTTTGTAGCAAAGCATAATAATAAAGTCAAAGCCTTGGATGTTCCTGTTCCTGAGAGAATAGGTGTGTTCTGTGATTTTGATGGGGGTAAGTTTACTGATTTTCTCATAGTTCATTTCATCATTGTTGCTTGTATTTCAGTACTTTCACTGGTAAGCATCTATAGAAAATTTCCATTAATATTGTGGGAAGAGTGTTTTGACCTGCCAGGATTTGATCACAAGCATAATTTCAGCCCCAGAAGTGACAGGAGGTGTATCTGATGTCTGAAGCTCTACCAAAGCACTCATCTATAATATACTAAATGAGTTGGAAAGATTTTGCTAATTTTAGTCTTAAGGGTAAAATTTCTTTTATTGATTTTAATTCCTTCTTACCTTGTTTTATTGCCTGTACAGAGAGGCAAGGTCACCTTTCTCTGGTTGGAATAGACCTTAGAAATTCCCTAATCTATCTACTACAGAGTATAAAATCCTTTTTATATTATCTCTGCAGGTAGTGGCCATTCCTGTGCTAGATGAACTTTTTTATGTGAGACTTACTGTCTTAGAAGGGAGGCTCTTTTGTTGTTAGATAGTACTTGGTTTGAAGGTTTTACTTAAATTGACTCACTCTGTCCCAGTAACCTCTGAGACTGTTGCTCTTAAATTTTGTCATCTTAAGAAATACAGCATTATGTCCCCTAATTCACATTTACAAGATAATCCTTATTTGTTTAAAAACTATGAACACTGCTTCTCTTGCCCTGTTTTTCTCAGACTATACATTCTCTGTACCATTAGCTATTTCTCTTATTTAATTTTTCCAAAATCTTATAATGGCCTATTGTTGTGTATTACATCAATATATTTCTTAAAGATTGACTCTCAAAGTAGGACATGCATCATCTGACCATAATAGGACAGTGATTTGGCAGAACAGTTTCTAGCACTATGACTTAAAAAAAAATTTCCAATTACAGTTTACATTCAGTATTATTCTGTATCAGTTTCAGGTGTACAGCATAGTGGCCACGCAATCCCATACCATACAAAGTGTTCTGATATTTTCAGTACCCAGCTGGCACCATGCATAAGTATTACAATATTATTGACTATTATTTCCTATGCTTTGCTTTACATTTCCATGACTATTATGTAACCACTAATCTGAGTTCTGTCAAATTATTTTTCCTCTTAGATTATGCAGTTTGGGTTTTCTGTTGACGTTGTTTATAATTCAAATGAAGAATATTATATTTGTCTGTAAGCTTCGTCTTAATGAATTTGGCCAAGCTTTCCCTCTTGTTGAAATCATCTAAAAATTAATTTGATGTCTATCTTTTGCAAAATTTCTTGAAACTTTTTGAATTAGGTAGTTGTAAGTATCTTTTTTTACTATCATTTAAATATTTATAAAGATTATGAAGATGATATACTCTTAAACTAAAGAGTAAAAGTAATTCCCTAGATGCTTCTCTCCAAGTTGACACTTTAAGCTATTAAAACCTCATTTTACCATTCATGAGCTATCAATCTAATTACTTAAAGAAGAAAAGTTCAGTTGGCTTGGTTTATTTTTAGTGATGATGTCAGTTTTGCTGCTGCCTTTTTACTTATTGACTAGGAATCAGATAAATAATTTTTCTCAGGATAAATAGCAAATTTATTGGCATACATTTCCCATCCCTTTTTTTTTCAACTACCAAGATAGCATTTGCTTATTACCTTTCCCATACTTGGTATTTCTTCAAAGATAGTAATGGGAAGTATACTTGTCAGCCTAGGCAGGGGTGTCCAATCTTTTGATATCTCTGGGCCACACTGGAAGAAGGGTTTTCCAGGACCACACATTAAATACATAGCAACACGTAAACACAAAAAAGTCTCATAATGGTTTAAGTAAACTTACGATTTTGGGTTGGGTGGCATTCATAGCCATCCCGCTGCTGATAGAGAATAGGATAGAGGAGGGAGTTGCAATGTAGGCTGGGATCAGATTTTGAGAGCTTGAAAAATAATACCAGAATAGTCTTTTTTAGTAACTGAGGGAAGGGGGCCTCTGCACATTTTAGAAAACTGTAGTCATATGATGATAACTTAGTTTTAGAAATGCTAGAGAGAAAATGGCTAAATCTGGAAGAGATTGCAGGCATAGATTGGGTAAAACTTTTCGGGAGACAGTCTTTAAGCCATATAGGCAGGACCATGCCTATTTTGTTAAGTATTATATCTTTATTGCCTAGAAAGTACTCTTTTTATTTAAAAAAAGCCCCTAATAAGTGTTGGTTGAGTGATTAATAGTAACAAGGGCCTGAACAGTGGAGAATCAAGAAGAATGGATTTGATGGTGTAAAAGTAGAATTCACAGGACTTGATAACTAAATATGGTTTGGAGGGAAAGACAAAGGAGAGTTGAAGATGACTCTGAGGTTCCAGCCAGTGTGATCAAGAGGGTGATAGTATCATCAATAGAATAGGAAACAGAGAGAGTCCTGGGGAAAAATAAGATGCCCACAGGACAACCATATGGCCTGTCTGGCAAATATTTAGAAAATCGGTGCTAGAACTCAGAAGAGAAGTAGAACTGAGGCTAACTATTAGAGACAGCATCACAGAGTGGCTACTGAAGGCTGCCTAGAGCAATGAACCACTACTGCTTTTCTGTTTACTAACTCTGTGACCCTATTAGGTTGCTTATTAACATTTTGCAGTAAAGCAACTACTGTTTTCATGGTAGGATAAATGTTAGTTTCATTTCTTCTGTGGTGGTAGCTGATTTATTAAGAGAGATTTGTAGAGAGAAAGAGAGCCTGGACAAGCATTTACTCTTTATTTGGAATAAAGAGTAAAAGAGAAGGTGTCTTCAGGGTTGGGGTACAAATCAAGAGAATAGTCATGGGAGAAGAATTTGAAGAAGTGGTAACAGTTTTAAGGAGGCCATTGAGTTGGACAGAAAAAAATGAAGCGCTGATAACTATACTGTGGTTTCAGAGACGGAATTAAGTATGTCTTCAAGTAGTTAGAAGACAAGTTTAATAGAGTAAACTTTAAATAGTGATAGAATTTGAATTGAGACTAGGTTATAGTAAAATGAGGAACAAATTGCGTTGGTTTTACTGGGAAACCATTTGTTAAATAATGGTAAATTAAAGAAATAGTATATATAGTTGAATAAGTAGAATACTGCCAGATTAGGGAAGCACTCTGGAGATCTTGAAAACCATGGAAGGAAAACTGGATTTAGGTTTTTTTCTTAAGCATGTTTTTTCCTACTGATTTTCAAGTAAGAATTACTAAATCCAGTCATTATAGTTTGTAACAAAAAAAATGAATGTCCAAATATGCATTTGGTTATTACTTTTATGCATGGTTATATGTTAGCCTTAATTAGATGTTAAAATATTTTGTATAATAAATCAGGTTTTTTTCCCCCCCTTGCTTTTAGGTCAACTTTCTTTCTATGATGCAAACTCAAAACAGTTGTTGTATTCCTTTAAGACAAAATTTGCTCAGCCAGTGTTACCGGGTTTCATGGTTAGTACTTAATTTCTTATTTTATTTGGTTTGGCACCTTTAAGAACAACATATGCTGTATTTTGGGAAAGCAGCATACCTTTTCTTTATATTCCTCGCCTATTCACCAATTTACCTCTCTTAAATCTGTGATTGTGATTGTATATTTTTGGTAATTTTGTTGAAGTAAATGATAATAAATAAAAATATGCAAATCATAAGCATGCAGTTTGATGAATCTTCATAGGATTACACTGATTTTTGTAACCAGCATCTGGCTCAAGAAATGGAGTGTTACCAGAATGTCATAAGCCCCTTGTGCCCATTGTCAGCCCCTGCTGGCCCTCTTCCTTAGAGGTTACTACCTTGAATTTTAATACCATAAACTCACTTTGCCTCCTTTTCAATTTTGTGTAAATGGAATTATTCAATATCTTTTGGCTCACCATTACATTTGTGAGATTTATCCAGGTTATTCTGTGTGGTGGTAGTTTACTCATTCTCATAGATTTTTCTATTATATGACTATGTCATAATTTATCCATTGTAATTTAGGTGGATACTTAAGTTATTTCCCTTTGGGGACATTTATAAATAGTATTGCTATGAATTTTCTAGTTCATGTATTTTGGTAATGCAAATTATTTTTTATTGGGTATAAAACTAAAATTGGGGTTGCTAGATCATATGTTGTATGTGCAGTCAACTGTAGTAGAGTTTTCCAAAGTCGGTTATATTAATTTACCACCAGCAGTTTGAATATACAGTCCTTAAATGTATTACATTGTGGTTTTCATTTGCACTTCCTTGGTGACTAGTGCTATTGAACACTTTCTTATATGTTTTATTGTCTATTTGAGTATACTCATTTGTAAAATGGTTTTCAAGACTTGGCCTGTATTTCCATTGGGTTTTCTTTCTGTTTTTATTTATTGATTGGAGTTCTTTATATAGTGTGCGTGCTTTGCCATATTTAAGTTTTACAAATATCTTCTCCGGTCAGGCTTTCCTTTTCCCTCTCTCACTGGTATCTTTCGATGAACAAAAGTTGTTAATTTTAGTGTTGCTCAATTTATCCATTTATTCATTTATGGTTAGCACTTTTTGTCTTCTATTTAAGAAATTTTTAACATCCCAAGATTATTAAAATATTCATGTGTTCTCTTCCAAAAGCTTTTCCTTATACATTTAAATATAGACTGCATTTACAATGAAGGTACAATGTAGAATTGATATATTTGATATGAAGTTGGGGTAATGATAACAATCTTTTAATTCCATATGGATATCCACTTATTCCAGAATCATCAATAAGATCCTTTTTCCATTGCAGTGCAATGTTATCTTTATAAATTACTATATAACCGTGTGTAGTAGGCTAAATATATAGGTGTCTGTACACACAGGTATCATTTCAAGACTACTCAATTTCAGATTGATTTATATAAGAAAAAGCTATGATCTCCATACAACGTGAAACTTATTTTTAATTAATTTCTTTAATTAAGCAAATATTACTGCTTCTCCCAACTACTTTATCATTTGCATTTCTCTATAGGGTTAGGCTACTGTGAGGAGTTCTGCAATCCAGTTAAGATCATCTTTATTCTAGCTAGAACAGTCTTTTATTTGGGGGCTACCTCTACAAATTAGGATGGTATATATCCATTGTGAACTTGCAGTGTCTTGTATGTGTGTTTTTTCATCATCACCCTAACTTTCACTCAATTATGGGGAGAAATTATTCAGGGTATATGTGGGTTAAAATGCAGTGCTTTTAAATCTCACAGTTGATGCTTATTAATTCTAGATTCCCTAAAATCTTAAAATAAGTTGAAAACAATGCTAATAACCAAGACTTCTACTTTCTTCATTATAAAGTAAAAATGATTATTGACAGCAGTATGGTGATAGGCAGAGGGAATGGGGCATGGAGGGAGGTGGAGGGGGATGAATGGTGGTGGAAAGAGACTCACCTTGGGCGGTGAACTCATGATGCAGTGTGCAGAAGAGGCGCTCTAGCTGTAGGCTCGAGCCTGCGTGGTTTTATTAGCTAGTGCCACCCCCAGTAAATTCAATTAAAAAATAAAAGTGATTGTTGAATAAAGTTATTGCTCATAGAAACATTTTTAGGGATAAGGAAGGGTGATTACCATTATTATTACTGTACTTTGCCAAAAACCTCTGCTGTTTTATGGATTTTTGGCTCTTTTTCTATATTGTCCAATGTGAAACTCAAAGATATTTATTTTATTTTTTAACCATATGGAATTTAAAGTTATTTTTTTCATGAGTCTTAGGTATGCTTTTACAAAAGGGTAGATATCATGTTTAATTTGAGTTTATGTCAGGTAGATACATAGTGAGTTTATTCATTGCTTTTTCGTTGTAAATAAACTATAATTATATTAGTAAATGTCATAAGTAACTTCAGGAAATATATTTTTAAAATGGTTAAAATTCTTTTTCCTTTATTAAAGGTTTGCTTTTCTTAACTAAGTAAAATGATTGTTAATTTATTTTTTGTGTACATGATTAATTTTCTTTTTTAAAGTTAGGTTTATTGAGGTACAATTTACAGTAAGGTACAGCCCTATGGGATTGGACAAATGCATACAGTTGTATAACCACCACCATAATCAAGATGTAGAACATTTCCATCACCTTAGAAAATTCCTTCATGCTCCTTTGTAGGGGACATCTATCACACCCAGCCCTGGCAATTACTCACCAGTTTTCAGTCCCTATAGTTTTGGTTTTTTTCCCAAAATATCATAGAAAAGGAATATATGGTATGCAGACTTTTGACTCTAACCTAATACATTTGAAATTCATCCATGATGCTCTGTTTGTCAGTAGCTCTATCTTTTTTTATTGCTAGTATAGTGCTCCATATATGTATGTACCGCTGATTTTTCATCTTTTCACCAGTTAAAGGACATTTGGGTTTCTCGCAGTTTTTGGCAGTTCTGAATAAAGTCACTGTAAACATTTGCTGCTCTCTGTTTACAAGCAATTCAGTTTTATCTTTCAAAAATTCATTCACATTTCTGGTTATTAATAAAATATGGCATGTGTACCTGGATATTGCTATGTGCATTTTTCTCAGAAGTCCTTTTTACAGAATTATGAAAGAATTCTTTTGTTAGGTTCTTATGTTAGGGAAGAAACTGCTGGATTTTACTCTGTTATCAAAGGGGTGTTAGATTCCTGTAGTCTCAGGCCACACCTTGTCAAAATCTAAAGCAATAATTGGGATAGGGAAGTTGGCTATTCCAGCACTTCTCTTGGTTGTCAAGTCAGCATCACTAAGGATAGCCAATACCTTTTGCCTAGATTAATCTAGTTCAGTCTCCAAATTTCTGCAGCCCTTAGTTCCCTGTCTCGTGTGCAGCCCCAGTGGGTTCTGCTACCACAAAAACTCCCTCTGGCCTCTGTGGTTCTAAAGATTCTTGAGTTAGCCTACCTCCCTCAGTTCAAATATGAAGGTCATCATTTTGGAACTTGTTGACGTTCACACATGTGGCATTTTGCCTTTCAAGTGGAAATTTAAGGCACACTTACATTCTTACTCAATTTGAAATCTGACTGAAGCTTTTCTTCTGTCTTTTCTTAGGTTTGGTGTGGTGGACTTTCTTTGAGTACTGGGATGCAGGTTCCAAGTGCTGTGAGAACACTTCAGAAAAGTGAAAATGGAATGACTGGCTCAGCTAGCAGCCTAAACATTGTGACTCAGTAATGCCTGCCGAGAATATGTTTGACACCCGCTCTCCCCTTTGATTGGGTGGCCGAATCATAGAAACTCAAAGAGTGGGGGAAATGAGATTTGCTACATTCTGCTTTAAGGCCTGGAATCTCTTAGTATTAAGCATCTAGTATGAAATATTCACAGGAACCTCACTGCACCTATCATAGAAGCAAGCAGAGATCGAGCAAGAAACTGGTATTTTGAAGAGCAAATGGGGAAAAAAGGCAGTATTTATATAGAAACTCGCTTTTATTTTTCTTGAATTACTTTGGCTCTTCTAATATGTTTAGTTACATATGGTAGCCTTAAGGCCTGAAGAAAAAAGTGTTTAAATCTTGCTTGCTTCTTTACTTTCTTTTTTCTCTTATTACTACATATTATTTAGTTCTTACACTGACACTTTAAAAAAATATACAGTCCTCTGATGTTTTCTAAAAATTGAAATAATTGGTTGGGGGGTTCTAGGTAGATTTTCTTAAAATGGTTTGTTTTTTCCCTTTTATAAGTACATTGAGTTTTGCTAAATTATCCTCTTTTTTTTATTGACTAGATTATATATCATTTTCTTTTTTCAAGATGTGATGGTATTTTTCTTGTGGTTATAGCTCAAAATGAGAGTGGATAGGAAGAGTTTTTAGAGATAATTAAAAACACTCAAATTTTGGTTTATTTGCTGCACTAACAGTGGCAAAAGGATATTCTTTATATGTTTCCCTGTTTAATTAGACTTCATTCTATCATTTTGGATGATGGGTAAGATTTTTGAAAGTTTTATGTTTTCTAATTTTGTTGTCCAGTTTAACACTACCCTTAGTAGTTATCTTTGAGAAAAGTCCTGCCTGGATTTGATAATAACTGATAATACTTAAACTGATTTTTAATATTTCTAGTAGGAATGAAAGTTTATTAAAGTTGTATAGAAGGTAGAAAAACGTACACTACTCAAGTTTTACCTAAGAAAGATAGGCTATAAAGGGAGGTGCCTGAAACTGTTGTCTATTGAAGTCATTTATGTATGCTTTTAATAAGATATGGAATGGTTTAAACAAGTGGTTTTAAAAAAAGAACTACATATCTCTGACTTATTTGGCATATATGTTTTTCAGTCACAACTACTTACAGGTTATTTTCTCTCAGTCCTTTTGCTACATTCATTTGCTTTCTAAATGGGTGTAATTTTTTTCAAAAATCAACATAGAATGATCCTTCCCAAAGTTAGGGAAAATGTGTTAATGAGTAAAACCCATTGTTATTGAGAACATACCCGTTTTATTTTCAGTTGATTAAAATTTGTAACACAAGTCCTTTGAGCCAAACTGAAAGTTGCAATTACAGTAGTATTTAAGAATTCCCTTGAGTGTTTCAAAAAGATTGAACCTGTATATTCCTTCATTTTTGAAACTTCTACTTTCTCATTTTAACTTTCATTCTCATTTTAAGTATATTATACTATGACCACCTTCTCCCAAGAAGTGACTGATGCTCTTCCATTGGAGTTGCTACCCATAAAAAGGCCTGTGGAACAGGAATAGCTCACTCTTTCTTCAAGTTTGCTGCTTACTGATAGGACATTTTGTTCATTTTAAAACAAATCTAAATGACGACTTTTATTTGAACTGGGTATTATTTTTTCAGAGGACATTCATATCTGCACCGTTGTCTGCTGACATTTTGTATTTGTAGTTACAAAGACTATATAGGAAAGTTCAGAGAGTGAATATGTTAATAGCTATTGGGTCTCAAATTAATTTTGGTTTTTGTTCCTAGAGATTTTGATAGAAAAAAAAAATTTGGGGGGGGGGCGGGGGTGTTCTTTTCCCTATTGCAGGGTTGTCCAGGACCTAAGTAAACAGGAAGTTACAACTCTCTTCCCTAAGAGTCAAACCTGAAAGCAGTAATTTAGTGGTGGAGCTCCTTTAATGTAAACTGTTACACATGTATATTTTAGCAAAAATGGCACAGAAAAAGCCAGAAATTCTTGTATAAAATTTTTTACTATTATATCTTATATATTTGTGTCTTCTCTTTAATTCAGTGCCTTCTTCCTCTAAGCATGCTCTTTCTCTCTGTGCCCCGTGCAGTGTCGACTGATAGGCCAAAGACCATTGTATTGTGCTGGTGAAGGCCTTCTGTTGCAGGGGCATGGGGAAAGGAAATATAATCAGGGGCTGGAGGAGTGCATATGATCCTTTTCTGTGCTCATGCTATCATTTGAAACCCTTCATATAAAATTTTCTAATATTCATTTGGAAAATTCATTTGAAGTAATACTATTATTACTTCAAAATAAGAATCTGAGGTTTACTTGTTACTGTGGTTCTTAAAGGTCTCTTTAAAAGTAAAGAGCAAAATGGGTGGGGTTTTAGTTTAGTTGTTTTAAGTTTATTTTTGTTAAGTTATACTGGAGCAGGTTTGCCACCTTCATTTTCAAACTAGAAAATAATCAACTGTAGTGCCTAATTAGTCTCAAATTAAGGTAACTATTTCACCTTGACCATGTGTATAACATTGTCACAGACATTTAAATTAAAAAATATTGAGCTATTTTGCTCAATTTAATACATTGTATAAAGTTGGTATACCCTTTCAAGCATTTTTTATTGGTTTATTTACTTTGTTTTGACAGGTCAAACATGATTGCTTTCTGTAAAAGAAATGCATGAGAGGTTGACAATAATGGATATATCACAGGTCTAAAAAAACTATGTTTTATAAAAACATGCTTTCAGTATTGCATTTCTCTTTTAGCAGTTGAATCCCAAACCAGTTTTAGTAAACTGGATAAAAGAAATACAGGAATTGCCTTAAGCACTTTAGAAAAAGATTTTTTTTACAATTCCTTTTGATTCTTTGAGCTGACCATGTAACATATGTCTTTAATTTTTGGTAAATATGTATATACCAAACATTTAATAACTGCACATAGAAATGTAATATACAGTGATTCTTTGTTCCAAGTGAAGGTAAACAAATGGAAAGTATTAGAGGCATGCCTGTCTGTACATGGGTTTAATCGATGGCATGTATACCAACCATTTTGACAAACCACGAATTGCCGTTGTACAGCTAGACTGGCCTACTTTGTTGTACACAGTTTTTCCCATGTTGTTATCTAAAGAGACATATTGGCTTCGTTTTATTTACTCATTTATGAAATTAAAGCATGAACAGTATCATGTATAATTTGAATTTTTGTGACTTGGTCCTTGCTGGTATAAATAATAAAAGTAAGTAATTTGTCATGAAATCTTTAATTAGGCTAAGATACTTTATTTCATGACTTACCTAGAATGATTAGTTTTTTTTCTATATACTTTTCCATAAAGTTACAGTTATTTATATTTTTGGACTTTTTGGAAACATTAAAAATTGGAAAAGGATATTATGGAAAGTGATTCTTTCAGAGAGTATTAATTTTAAAAGAGGAAAGTGTAGGCTTTTGCTATAAAATATGTGATTACAGGCTGAAAAAACTAAGGACTGTATTTTCAAATCATCATAATTCTCTCTTCATTCTTTGGCTGATATATACCACTAATATTTTAAGTGTTTGTGATGTGGCAGTCAAACTTTGTATTCATATTTCCAAAATTAATGAAGTTTGATTTACTGTGCATATGGTTTTGCTGCTTTTGAGTGGTATGACAAAGTTTGCATCTTAAAAACAATGTTTTGCTAAGTCAGAAATTTTAAAAAGTAAATTTGTTATAGTTTGTAAAAAATATTCAAATTTTGATAAGCAAATTGCACATAATATGGTTCACTTTTATATGGTCAGAAAAAAATGGGTCTGGAAAAGTTTCTTCCTTGATTTTATTTTTACACTGGATATACTCTTTTAGGGAAGTGTATGGTCAGCATAAATTTACTCAACATCCAAGTAACCATAAAGTTATTTGTTATTTTTAACCAAAATGTACATTGTATAACGCCAGTACTAGAGCATTGTAAGAAATTGTGTTTCTTTAATCATTACAGAAAGCTTACCTCATTTCACTGTAGTTTTAATTTCGTTTGTATCTTACAGTATTCATATTATGCCAATATTTGTGATCCTGATATATTACCTATGACAGCTTCGTTATTTGGAATATTTGGTTACTGCACATACTCTAAGCTCTTTGAGTAATTTGGAGTTAAATGGATTATGTTGCATATATTTTGTTTTTGTTGAAAAGATACTGTTGGACATGCCATTATAAAGATTAGTATTGGCTTATAAATACCAGAAATTGCCATAGTACTTTCTCCTCAGATTACCCAATTATTAAATTAAAAAATAGTATTTGTTATTTCTGGGTCAATATAAGGCAATGACTTTTGATTTATAACCATTTGAGCTGTTAGTTTAACTGATATATTTTCTTAGTGGTACCCATTCAATGTAAGTTGGTCCTTTGGAATGGACATACAGAAGATTTCACAGTATGTAGGCCAGGAGGTAGGTGAATGTGTTTGCTTTGGCTTGGAATTTCTGAAGTTTGGACCAATTTTTTAAAAAGTCAAAATGTAAGTGATTGGTAAAAGGCATTTCTATTAGTATTGGAACTTTTTGGAGAGCCTAAGTGCTATGAAAATGCATTTTTTTTTAAACATTTCCAGTATCTAAGGTACCAAAGCACCGAGTCTAGTTTACTTTTTAGGGGAGACTCTTTAAAATCAAATTTATAACTAATTCATACTATAAGATATATAATACCTAAAGTTTTAGAGTAATTTATATTGAAAACACTAGTCTTTAAAATTTCTGGACATAATATAAAATGCTGGCTTCATTTTTTTTTTAAGTATTTAACATTAATCACCTTAACTCTACCATACACTAGATCTATGGCCTCTACATAAATCATTTCTCATCTTTGGGCAGCCTACCTCACAGGGCTGTTGTGAGGAATAAAACGAAATGGGAGTGTGTGAAATCGCTTCAACAGTAAAATGCTATGTAAATGTAAGGTATTGCTTTCAGTTAATAATGGATTTAAGTGTTTGAATACTTCTAGATGCCATTTGCTTTAGTTTTTAAAACTAAAAGCATGTGCTTAAAGTGGTTTCACCAGGATTTCAAATGTGATTTAAAAAAAACCAAAAACAAAACCTGTATTAAAATGCCCTTTAACATTCTTCAGTTTGTGTGCGATGTGACCTTTTCGTATTTCCCCCTCAGGCCGGTCACCCTGTTTCTCAACTTTGTAGAACTGTAAAATCCCTCCCATAGCGTTAGTGTGTCACTGTAGAATAGTAACATAAAGCATAATAAATGGCGTAAGTGTTTCCATCCAGGCATTTGCACTTTTAATTTATGACTCCTCAGTGCCACATGCAAAGACTGAACTTGGCCTAAGTAATTCTTTCCAAACAACCAAATGGTTAAAATTTGTTGTCATCAGCTAAAAGATATGAGGTGCATGTGCCCATTTAACGTTTGACTTTTGTTGCATTGTCATTTTTTAAAAATATGAAACATTTCCAAAACCTTGTTAACCTGCATATCATTTAGTATCTCTCCCAACAAATTTGTTTTGCTTTAAATTGGATTTATTAAATGGTTTGCAGTTCACCTTTACCTGTAGATCATATGGTTATCAATTGGACATGATTTTACTATGCAGTTGTGATAATCTTAATTCCTCAGGTTAAAACTTTAAGTTATGGATGAAAAATATGAACTACTTATAATATACTCAGTGCTGCAAACTAGTGTTTTAATATGTGTATTGCCTCATTTTTCTTGGAAACGAGACAAAGCCTTTTAAATGGTTTTTAACTTTAAGATAGTGTATTCAAAGTGGAGTAACTTCTATGTTGAAATGATTGTATGCTCTGTGTAGAATGACCAAGTTAAATTCCTACAAAAACACCTGGCATATCTCATCTAAAAATTAAACTTTTTTCCTGCATTCTTTTGCTTCAGTGCTTGCCTTTTATCAGTTCTCATTAAAAATATACAATGTGTTTTTGAGGGTAACAAGATAAAAAAGTCATAGTCCCTTTTCCCAAAAGGGGGCACTACTTTAGAGCAGTACCATTCAACAGAATTTCATGCAATGATGAAAAGTTCTATATAGCTGCTGTGTTGTGCAGTGTAGCTATTGATGGAAGATGAAACACACTGTAAGGACCCTTGGAGCTTGTCACTACTTGGGTAACATTTTGGTAGGGTAGCTAAGAATAAGAAGTAGAACTTAAGCCTTCTAAAAGTTTGTATTCTAACTTGAAATCAGTTTAGGAGAATAAAGAAAAACAATCGGTGACTAGATGAAGCTGGAGCTTCATTTCACCAAGAGTGAAGGGAAACTGCTAGTCTTGAGTCACAGGGAGAGGAGTATGACAAAGATTGAGAAACCAGTAGCCTCATATAGATGATTTTTTCCCCTTGTTAATTTTTATTATGACAATTGTCAAACATAAAAGTAGAGGCTATTAATAATGAACACCTTTACATTTTGCCATGTTTATTATCCTTTAAAGTATCTAAAAATAGCGTGTGAGTACTGCAACATGCATCAGTGGTTATTTTCTAAGCACAGCCACACTCACTAACAGTCTTAGTAAAATAAACAGCAACCCTAATATCATCTAATGGCTCAGGACATATGAAAATTTTAGTTGTCTCAAAAATGACTTTTTGTGGTTGCTTGCTTCAATTCAGAATCCAGACAAGGTCCACACATTCCATTTGGCTGTGTCTCTTAAGTCTGATTTTATAGTAGTTTCTTACCCCTTTTAAAATGCCATTGAAAAATGGCATTTGTTTTGTAGAACGTCCCACATTCTGAATTTAGGTGATCATTTCTCTATACCTGACATTAAATCTAGAGTTTTTATTAAATACAGATTGAAATTTAGGTAAGAATCCCTCACAGGTGATGCTGTGTATTTTCTGTTGAATCGCATCAGGATGTAATGTCTGGTTGTCCCAGACTTAATGATAAGATTGATCAGTGGGTTCAGATGGTGCTAGCCTAATCCATCTATTAAAAAGTTTCCCATCAATATTTCACCTTAATTTTAGTATCTATATTAATGAGCATTGTCCTTTGTATTATTTCACTGGAGTAACAAACTAGAGCTTATTCTGTCATTCTTTATTTAATACGTGGAATTCTCATTAGCATTTTGGTTACACTGAAATACAATTCATACAAGAAAGGCAAGATAAATACTTTTTTCCTTTATCAAGTTTCAGGATAGTGAGTTTTGGTGCCCTGGCAACTTTCAATCACTAGTAAGTTTAGTTTTAAGAAATCATGAAGTCAAAAATGTTTATATATTTGATGTTTCAATCAATAGCAGTTCCTCACCTGTATGGTCAGATTTTCCTATTTTAGGTCCTTAAAGTTAGCACCTATGTCCAATGATCCCGTTAATGCATGATAATGTCCTTCTTCTGGGTGTTACCCTACTTTTTTTTATTAACCTGCCAACTACTGGTACTAAAAATATGGAAGAACTAGTTATAAGTAATGAGACTTACAGTAAGCGTGTATGTACGCACATTTTCTGGAATGAAAAACTCGTATGAGTCATAACCCTGGGAAGTAAGAAAAAGACTTAGTTTTATACTTTTCCGAAAATCGAAGTTTAGAAGACAAATATGTAAGGAGAAACTCAGTTTTTACATAAACTGAACAGAAATTTTTGTAGAAATAACAATTACAGCGATTTTTTAAATGCTTTTTATATCCAAAATCCATGTCAAAATTTACTGATACCTGATCCTTCGGATTACACTATCAAAAGTTAAAGGACGTACATGTCCATTTCCAGACCTCAAACTGAGAATCCGCTGAAGCGACAGTAAACGCAGCTGCTATTCCCCACTGTTACTCTGAATCCTTCTGCATAACATACGCACTGAAAAATTATTCGTTATCTGAAAATCACATTTAACTGGCATCCTATATTTTATCTGGCAAATACGGCTCAGCCTGTGCCTCTCCAATTCTTGATCACTTGCAAACATCTCAGGTCGCCTCAGTGCATTGCTGTCATCTCATCAAGACAGAGAAGAGCTTTAGCTAAGTGGTTAGATCTCAAAGGCTAGGAAACCGCCAGGACTCAATAAACTTCCGGGAAGGGACGGATGTGGGGCGGAGTGTGGTGAGGAAGTGGCAGGAGTCGCGGACTGGCTGAGGCCGGGGTCAGGACCGTGGGAACGTCTCTGACCAACCTGGGACCAATCGTCACGGCTCTGCACTTGACGGCCCCTTTTGCAGCGGTTGCTGTGAGTGCCGTAAAGCAGAGCTGCCGTCGCTGTTGGGCGAGGTAAGGTTTGAGAGGCTCAGTTCCGTCGCCAGGGGTGGGTGGGTACCTTCAGACAGGTGTCGTATGTGGCTCGCGTGCTCTCACTGGGCCTCCCCCAGCATCTGGGCGCCTCCCCACCCCCAGCTGTCGATGCAGGCCACCGGGTGAGCGAGCTCCGGGCCCAGGGCTACAGCAAGCGAAATCCTCATTCTGGGACATGTTCAGTTTTGGAAGGCGATCGAGACCCTTGTAGGACCCGGGTTGGGGTAGTGGCGTTTGAGCAGGGTCTTGAAACCCATCTCGGGTTTGCGAGAACATCTGGGGGACAGTCGGTGGGGGACAGCACTGCAGGTTGTGGGACCAGTGTGTGCAAAGGCACAGGAGCGTGAACGGAGCTGCCAGGTTTTGGCCGCACTGCATTTTAGGGTAATGGCCAGGGATGTGGTGGAGCTAATGTTGGGTCTCCGCTGAGAGCGACCTGAATACCCTAGGAAGTTCTTCGAGGGGGGCGCGGGGGGGAGCTACACAGCTTTGCAGAGAGGGCGTAAGTGAATTACCCATGCCTTTTCTCTTCCGATGCTTTCCCCTTAGGATCAACTTTTAGTTTATTTGGAGGATTTTTGTTTTAACTGATGCACCCTCCTTTGTGTGTTTTATGGTGAGGTGGATACTGCTAGCCACGCTAAATAAAGTTTCAATGGCTTTGACGTCTCCCTTTTGTTTGCCGTATCAGTCCGGGCATGCCCGGGAAAATTGGGCCTGTGTAGAGGTGACTGTTGAAAGCTTCGGGTAGGGGTCCGCAGCACTGAGTTTAGATTTCGTCACTGTCACCAGTTTCTCAAGTAACAGGAGGCAAGTCACTTCTCTTTGCTCTACAGTTTTTTCAGATGTAAAGAGAGAACCTAGTTGATATCAGGTTCTTTCTACCTTCGAAGATTGCAGGTTTCCAAAGAATGAACATAATCAGCCTGTAGGAATGGAGCAGAGCTCTAGGACTTGGGAAAGAAAGGAGTCCAGAGGGAAAAGCTGGGATTCAGCGATACACGAGGGTGGATAGGATTTGAATCACCAGGGACCAGCTCTGTTGAACACCATGAATAAAGATAGAGAAGCCAGGACTAGACATTCATATTTTAGTATATTTGTGAAGGTAGGTTTAGAGAGAACAGAGGATTTAGGAAGGATGGCACCAGATGTTGCAGGAGCCCCAAGTGGAAAGAGTACTGGATGCTCTAAAAAGGAAGAAAAAATGAATGAGAGAAATGTCAGCGATGTACAGGACTTGATTTCTTGGGTCTAGGAGATTGCTTTTGAACCAGGGTTTCTAAAAAATGAATTTAAGTGCTGTTGACAAAAATGAGAATTCTATTAGAATTCCAGATTGCAGTAGTGTATTGGGAATTAGGTGATTCAGAGTGTAGCTACGGTATTGCCAATAACTAGCCTCTTGGGCTGTCATTTAATTTAGATCCTTTTCTCTGTAAAAGACCACGTTGGACTAGGTGGTCTTCTCTAAAATCTGTAAAACATGAATCTATGAGGATGGAGGGAGATAGTTGATAGAGAGTAAAAATGATACTTTTGAACATGTTAAATTTGAGGTGTAGGAAATTGAGTTGGAAATATAGGCAGATGGGGTTCATAGACTGGAACCTAAATAGTAAGTTTTCTCTCAGAGGTTGTAGTTAAAACCTTGAAATTGAATTTGTTTTGAGGGGTTGACTGTAGTACATGTGAGATGTGCCGACAGATAGGCGGCTAGTGAAATGATTGAAGGAGACATGCGGATCTCAAAGCCAAGATCTTGCAAGAACTCCTTTTAGGAAAGGATTACATATAGTCATAGGAATTCTTGGGGCCAACATTGTTATTAAAATAATTTAACAGCATTTATAGCAAAAAATGACCTACTTCTGAAAATATGGCTAAAAGCAAATAATTCAAATAGATATAATCTATTGTCTTTCTAATTGTCTACTCAGTAGTAATAGTATGTGCATATTTATTTATTCAACAAATATTTATGTGCTTCAGGCAGTACGGGGTGCTAGGGATATAGTAAACGAGATGGATATGCTTCTGTCTGTACATAAAGGTCTTAGCATGTAGATTAGTGATTTTCAAATTTTAATGTACATATGAATCACCTGAGAATCTTGTTAAAATGTAGATTCTGAATCAGCAGAACCATAGTCGGTCCTGAAAATCCTGTATTTTTGGCAAGCTCCAACATGATGCTGATGTTTCTGATCTGAGGACCACACTTTTAAGTAGTAAATGTGGCAGTTATTAAGCCATTATTGTTACCTATCAGATGTTTTTATTAATAATTTTATTCTCTGTGGAAATAATATATGCTTATTATTAAAATATTAGAAGAGTATAGAAAAGCATACAGAACATTGTAAAAATCACCCAGTTCCACTGGCCTAGAGATATTTTGGTGAACATTCATCCAGATATTACATAGGTACATATATTCACACTTTTGTATGTTGTGCCAAGTACTTGATACACTTCGAGCTCTGTGTTTGAGTCTCTTAGGTTTATAGTTTTACTAAGATCAATACCTAGATGGTCTCAATGAAGCAATTAATTCTTGAGGGGATGACTTGACTTAATTAAAAACAATCTGGTTTAACATCATTCCATTACTCCAAAGTGGGCTGTAAATGAGTATTTGTTAATTGAACCACAGAATGAGAAAAGGATTTTTAAACATCTACTAGGCCTTGTATGGCTTAGAGCAGCTAAAAATGTTGGGTGTTTTTTTCTTTTTTTAAGCCTGAATACATCATCAAAAATGTTTTCTTTTTATACTTTTCTATATGCTACCTCATCTCTCTAAACATGCCTTTGCCAGACACTATCCTCGTTCTTCTCTGTTTTATTTTGCAGTATTTGAATATTTGAATCTCAGGTCCATCTGACTTATATCACCCATGCCTCCCTCTCACATCCCAGTGTCCCACAATAAGTGAGCAGCATTGAGGGGACCACTGTGGCACACATATCATCTTATGAACCTAAGTTAGGTGTCAGAGCTGGTCGTTTCTTGTCTGATGGCTTCTGATGGCAAGAGAAGCGATCCAGAAAGCAGGAGTGAGGAGAACGGGAATCAAAATGTCAGGCAGTTAGACATTCTTTCAGACGGATCCCTACCCAGATGATTCTCAGAAGATTAATGGTGGGAGGTAGGATGTCAGGATAAGACAGGTGGCAAAGTCTTTCATGCCATTACCTTTAAAAAACCAGCTGTAATGTGAAAGGGCAAATAGGAAGTTGAAAGAGTATGAAATTCTGCTCTTGGCTATAGAAAAGCCTGAGCACTACCTTGTACTTCCCCTGCCGCACATTTTCGTTCACATTTGTATGTCGATTTCATCTAACTCCAGTGAAACAGGGAGGAAAGGAGATGTAACAACTGCTGCTATTTGTCATTCTGGAAATAGAGAATTAAATATTGGAACAGAAAAGATATTCAAACATATAACTTAAAAAAACTTTGCACAAACAAAAGAAATCTTCAAGTATAGACTGGTGGGACACACAGTGAGGAAAAACTAATATACAGGCATCAACATCATTAGTTTTTTAAAATTGAATTTCAAAGATAAGGAGTGTGTTATTTGCTCATCCCATTAAAATGATTAACTTACCTATAAGGGAGTGCTGGGAGAAGGATCAGATATTATCAACAGAATATTAGAAGAAAGTGGTATAAAACTTGTGAGGGGAAAGAAAATGTGACCTCAAAACCAAACTGTCAATTGACGGTCGTTTTTGAACAATGCAAGAACTCAAGGTGAATAGTACCCGTGAGTTCGATGAACTGTGAGAAAATGAGTATCAGCCATCCAGTAAAGAACAGGGATGATACAGCAAAAGGAGTGGCTGGGAACACAGTTTATGAATAAGGCTAAAATAACTGAGATTTGTAGTTAAGAATATAACAGAACGATAACAAGGTAGAAATAACAAAAGTCAGAACTGAAAGAGAAGGCAGGAGGTAATATAAATATTGTTTTCTCTTATTTTTAGCTGGAAAACAAAAAAGTTTAGACATTATATTTAATATATTGAAAGGAATAAAAATAAACGCTTGGAGAACAAAATACAGGATCTGGCACCAATAACACCTGTTTTTATTACAAAATCATAAGCATGTCATTCTGTAACATAATATCACACTCAAGCACACCATTTTAGGTGAAATGTTCAAATTAAAACTATAAATTATTACACCCATATTATTACTCTTATATTACTCATGCAGGCCTTACTTCTGCCAGACTCTTTACATTTAACCAAAATCAAACAGTGGAGAGGAAGTAAGAAGAACTATATTAAATTTCTTGTCTTAAATAATCAGATGGGACTACACATGAAGGAACAAAAATTTTTATTGTGGCCTTTACACTTGGAAAAACTGGAAACACATGGGATATTTATAAGAACTCATCACATCCTAGAGTACAAAAAGCAAGGAGCTATCAGACAGATGTTCCTTCACCAAAAACTCTCAATTTCTTCTACCTATGGAAGTGGGTCTTGGTATGGTCAGCAGCATCAGCATCCCCTAGGAACTTGTCAGAAATGCAAATTCAGGGGCCCCCACCAGGTCTATGGAATCAGAAATTTTGGGACAGAGGCCCCCCAATGTCTGTTGGCCAGCTTTTATAAATATTCCACTTACGGTTTTTGTTATTTGCAATTGTAAAGAATGCCATGATAAACATTTTTGACCTTTTAAAAAAATTATTTAGTTTTAGAGAGAGGGGAAGGGAGGGGAAAACACATTGAGGTGAGAGAGAAATATCACCCCAGGACTGAACCCGCAACCCAGGCATGTGCCCTGACTGGGAATTGAACCAGTAACCTTTGGCTTTTGCAGGATGCTGCCCAACCAACTGAGCCATACTGGTCAGGGCAACATATTTACTCTTTAATGTTTGGTCTCATAACTGATTACTTCTTTATTGTAGGAAATTACCAAATCAAAGAATGTTCTATAAAACTCTAGATAACATTTTCTTCCATTGCTGATTATTACAAGTGAAAAACTAAAAACAGGTTTTTGTCTCTTTAGAAAAAACTTCTTGTTCACGGAGAACAGGATTATCTCCTAATCCAAAAAGATGAAACCAAGTGAGTTACTTTCAAAAGACAACCAAGTGAGCACCACAGACTAATGAGTAGAATCAACAAGAACGTGATTTTGGCGCTTTTAACTTTGACAAGTTCTGCGTTTCTGCTATTTCAATTATACTACTACAAGCACTACTTATCAGCAAAGGTAGTATTTTTCTCCTTTCTCATCATTAGGCTTCATTTTAGCTGTATATTTTCCTAACAGGTCTGTTTTGCAGCACATAAATTAATCACAGTTTTTCAAGTTTTTGCAGAAATAATTCTTACCACACTTTTCATCTTTGTGGGCATGGCAAGCAATTCAAAATTGCAAGTAATTGTTATTGTAACAACACACTAAATGTCAAAGGTGCTAGGTTTCAGTGATGTTTAATCTGGATTTTAATGCCTCAACATTCGAAATTACGATTTATTTTAGGAAAAGTGTGGGCACTGGAGCCGTCTGTGAAACATAAATAATACGTGCTTTGCAGTATCGTTCTGTGGGATAGATGAGAATACATAATTCATGTGTGGAAATGTCAAACAGTACACCGGAGAGCTGCTCAATAAATATTTTTATACTTTCTTAGCACGTGGCCAAGGTGTACTAACGCTGCCCCTGTGTGTGGAGATAAGCTGAAGTTAGGGATACGGAGCTGAGTGGATAAACCCTGGTTCCAAAGAGATTCGGAATAGCCAAGAGTGTACTAGTTATTGATGGAAAGTAATTAGTTTAGAGATGTTGGCTATCTATACCTTATTGCTTAATAACTTAATTAACTTACTGCAGTCCGTCATTGTTTTCTATCTTGGACAGTTGTATAATTGCAGAATTCTTAGCTCTTGACTCCCTGAAAATAGGTATTTGCTGAGTGCTTATTAATGATTATGAGCCAGTTGTGTAGTCTGAATCTCATGCCTACCCTCAACATAATGGTGCATGCTGGTTACAGGGCTCTGGATTTACTAAAATGTTCTTTTGTTGTCTTCCTAGAATGGAGCTGGTTTATCAAAATCCAAAGGAAGCCGAATTGGATTCGATAGCGTACAGTGGGTATGTACGATAAGCAAGAACTTCCTCAACTGCAGTGTTCATTTTAGTTTATTCATTTATATACTGAGTACGTAGTTGTTGAATGATGGCAAAGAAAATAGCTACCATGATGAGGAGTAGGGGTAGGTGGTCAAGGGGAAGGGACAGGGCCAATGCCAAGAGTTTTATATGCAGTATCTCACTTAGTCCTTATGGAAACACTAACAAGGCAGTACCATCGTTATCCTTAGTTGGCTTAGAGAGATTCAGCTTAGTTTGCTAGTAAGTGACTGAGTCCAGATTCTGTTTGCCTCCAAACCCACATTCACTGAGCGATAGTAGTTCCCCAAATGAATATATGTGTTTCTAAGAATTGAAATATAAAATAATGATGAGAAAAAAATCTATTCAACATGTTTCCTTTATAATATAAAGGAAACTATCAGTATTATAATACATCCCTGTTTTGGTTTATAAATTTCAGGGCCTGCACATTTATAAAACACAGTTTCTTACAAAATTACATTTATCCTGTTAGTATACATTTTGGATATGACCAGATATTTCTCAATCTTTGACTTCTGTTTAACCAGAGACATCAAAGGCTGTAGATTTGAAGTCGGCTTTCAAATCACCAGTAGCAATAAAGTACTAGTGATAATTTTAGGTCATTGACAACAATTGGATTTGAACCACTTTTTTAAAGGTTAAGTCTGGGATATTCTATGACTAGGCTCCTCAGTTATCAAGTGTGGAAGCGTTGTATCAATGTGAACTTTAAAACACTTTTAAAAAATATTTCGATTATAGTTGACATTCAGTATCACACTAGTTTCACATGTACAGCATAGTGATTAGACATTGATATAACTTACAAAGTGATCCCCTGCTAAGCATAGCACCCACCTGACACCATACATAGATATTTCAGTGTGAACTTCTAATTTATTAAAAATAGCAGCTGTTTACTCTGGGGACTTTGCGTAGTCTGAGGGGATAGGGAAGTATGATACACTTGGAGTTTATACTCCCCAGTCACAATGGTAAAGACTCTAGCAGGTGAAATAAAAAGGGGCATTTTGTGTGTTCTGTCTAGCCCTTCTAAGCCTCCCCTTAAGAAAAACGCACACATAACACTTGGACCAGATTTATCGTCCTGTGAGTGAAATAATTTGTTGAGATTTGAAATTCATTATCTAACGGGCTAGGAAATAGACCCATCTGAAGATAACAGGGGTTCTCGATCATAAATTTTAACACTCTAAAATATGAGGATATTTAAGGTAATATACATTTGCCAAGTTTTCCATTTATTGAGTCCTCATATGTAAACTGAAAGAGCATGTTCAGAAAAAGTTTTAAAGCTCTAATAGCTTCAGTGGGATAGGAGACTTGACTTTGGATTAACCCGACATTTCCAAAACCCTTAGTATATGAAGCAGTCAGCAAGGGTACCGACTCACTGTATATTTTAAAACGGAATTTGCGTATGTTCAAAGTTTAACAGAACAGTGAAAATTAGGGCAGCCCCATCTTTTTCATTCAGGGAACGATTCTTGAGGTGGAAAAAAATAATGGATTTTTTAAAAAGAGTTCATGTCCAAGGTACACAAGCAAAAACTTAAAAGAGCAGCTCACAGTACTAAAAATCACACTTTATAATAGTTGCAAAATTGCAGGGAAGGAAGAATTGAAATACTTTTTTTGTAATATTTTAGAAGGACTGAAAGGTGAAATCTCATCACTAAGTGTGACACTGAGCCCTGATAAAATTCTAGGATGAATTATTAAACAGATAACATGAGAGAACTTAGGGGGAACAATAATCATTATTAGGAAGTAGCCTTTCACTGAGAACAAGTCCCACCAAACCCTTTTAGGTTCTGATAGAATTGAATATACTGGCAGGCAAATAGGCTGTTCTAATGGCATCATATCCAGTTTTCAGACAGACATTTTTCTTTCTTGTAAACAAAATGAATTACTGAAGGCCAGATGATAATAGTCATGCTGATTTAGAATCAATTGGATTTAGAGTCAACTGGACATCTGTTTCCTAGGAGCATTGATGATTGCATTGACCACAACCTGGAAGGTGTATTTAGAAGGCTAGTTACAGAATCTCTCCTTGACCCTGCCCTAGTCTATATTTATATTAATAATCATAGTGGAGCCCTATATATATATATATATATCTTCATTATGCTTGTATTTAACACCCAGCTGCATGAGATTCATTTGATAAACACTTATTAAGCACCTTATTTGTCCTTGAGTCTGTCATCTCATCATCTTTCTTCCAAAACCATTTCTTTCTCTTTTATTCTCCTAGTATAAAGCACAGAAAGCAAGAACCAAAAAGGAACAAAACTGATTAGGCTATCAAAATTTAAAACTCATCAATAGACAGCATTAAGAAAATGAATGGACGTGCCACAGACCTGGAAATATTTGCAAACATCTCTCTCTCTCTCTCTCTCTCTCTCTCACACACACACACACACACTCACACACACACACACACAACAACAACAACAACAACAACAACTAGTATCTATGATGAATAAAGAACTTCTACAACTCAATAATAGATTTTTTGTTCATACTTATTATCAGATTGAAGAAGTTCTATTCCTGGTTTGCTGAGAGTTCTTAATTATGAATAGGTATTGAATTTATCAAATACTTTTTCTGTATTGAAATTCTTCCAGATTTTTCCCCCTATGCTGTTGATATGATGAATTTCACTTACTGATTTTCAAATGCTCTCTTTTTCTCTGGGATAAATCCTACTTTGTCATGGTATTTACTTTTTTGTTTTGGTCTTTAAAAAAGACTACTGTAATTGATTTTCACTGCCTTGTTAAGTATTTCTGCATCTATATTCATAAAGGATGATGCTCTATAATTTCCTTTCATTTTTGAAGGCCTTACATCCCTTTGAGATCATAATTGTTTTCATTGACCTAGGCTTTTAAGCAATAATGTACGCCCTTTATTCTATTTATTTTTGATAGTCTTCGGTATTATTTACTCCTCAGTGTGATTTAGTCTGTTTCTATTCTAATTTTAAATTTATTTTTTCAATAGAAGACTCTACTTACTGCCCAGCACAATAATACCTGAAAATAGTGCAGTATTATTAGAAAGTCAAACTATATGTGGGAATGGTCAAGCAGGCAATATGTTTTAGTCAGGGTCTTCTGCTTAGAAAGAGTATTAAGCAGTATTACAAATGTGAAGGAAAGTGGCACAAACAATTGATTTTTGGTTTTGCAAAGGTTGCCATGACTGATTTCTAAAAGCTGACAGATCAGGTATTTCATCTTCCACTTTTGCTTGAAAAGATTTAGCAAATATCAAAAGAATAATTTGTAATCTTGAAGTTTACTCTCTGATACCATTTTCTCTACAAAGATGTTCTGATCCTTTTGTTGTACAATTACGTAGTAGCTTACTGATCTGTAGTACTTTTTAACATGTTGCATATATTTTACCTTGATTTTTATATATTTGTTCATCTTCCTCAGTAGACTGTGTACTTCTTCAGAGTAGGGACTGTGTATTACTAGTATTTTAGCACAAGAATAAGGATGGTGTCTATTGAATAAACACTCTATATATACTTATGACATCAATGAATAGAATTTACTAAGATTATTGTATTGGTTTAGTAGAATTAAGGAAATTCTTTTCCTCTCAAACAGCGTGCAGTTAAAAAATTTATTATGCTAACATCAAGCCAAAATGTACCTGTGTTCCTTATTGATCCTTTGATTCTGGAATTGATTAACAAAAACTTTGAACAAGTCAAAAATACCTCTCATGGCTCCGCTTCAGAATGCAACTTTTTCTGTTTCCCAAGAGAATTCACCACATTTGCACTACAGTATCACCTATGGAAGAATGAGGTAAGATAATTTGCTTTCAGGTAATAGAAAGCTTTTTACATAGTAGTTTGAAAGTATACCAGTTTAAAATGTAAAACATTTAAAAATTTTCTAAATGCTTTTTATAAATTATATCAAGAATATAGTCAGCTGTAAGTAACAAAACAATAATAGCTTAAGCATGTAAAGTACAGTATAGGGAATTAGTCAATAATGTTTTAATAACTGTGTGGTGTCAGGGTGTGTAGACTTATTAGGGCACCATTTTGTAAGTTCCATTAATGTCTAACCATTCTGCTATACATCTGAAACTAATAAAATACTGAATGTCAACTGTAATTGAAAAATAAAAAAAACTTTAAATAATAGCTTAAGCAGATAGGGAATTTATTTTTCTTGTACAACAAGAGATCGGTGGCTTTTGGTATTAATTCAGCTGCCCAGTGAGGCCTTGCATCACTGAAGTTCTTTTTATCATTTCTCTAATCTTCACAAGATGGTTGTGTTAGGGCCCCAGGCACCGGATTCATGTTCAAGGCAGGAAGACGACAGAAAGGGACGATGATCCTATCCCTCTTTTGAAGTAAAATTTTTCTCAATACTTACAGCTCACTGTCCAGAACTATATTCATATGTCTCCTTGTTGTGAAGGAGGCTAAAGAGACAGGTATTTAAAGCCTTTCCCTCATTGTAGACAAGCAAGTAGGAAGGGGTTGGGTGATGAATTTCCAGGATCTGCCACATCAGGTGTAAGTGAGGGTAGTATCCCTGATGAATATAGCACCATTCTTTCCACTTTGTAAGCGCATAGGACTCATTTGATACTCAAGTGGGGTGCTTCTTAGGCGTATCCAGAAATTCAAACTTATATTTTAAGTCACACACAGTAGTAATCCAAAAAAAAAAAAAAAAAGTCTCAATCAAACATGCCAAAACTGTGCTTGCTTCTTTATTTTGAATACTTCTCACTTCCCAACTTTACTGTTTTTCATTCTGAGGAGTTATTCAAATAAGAATACAGAAGTTAGCACCAGATTAAACGAATTCAGCTAGTCAGCCACCCTTGGTGGCACGCGAGCTAGCTCTGCAGCGGAGTCGGTTTTAGTTGTGTGACCTCCGAAAGGTGGGCCACAGCCCAGGGTGGTCTGGGGAAGCAGGAGAAGCTGCTCGGCTCCGTGGTTGCCCCGAGCGCCCGCCGTTGGCTTATTTCCGGCTTATAGTTCTTGGTTGTTTTTTTTTCCTTTCCTCTCAACTTTATATTTTGAAAATATTTAAACTGATAGAAAAGTTAGGGATGGTATTTTAATTGCAATTTTTTGTTTTTTAATCAAAATTATACTTGAGCTAAGCTTAAATAGTCAAATAGTAATGCAAAGTACCTAATGAAAGAGGCGTATCTGCCTCTTCTCCCCGCACCCTCTTCCCACTCCTAGAGCCAGCCACTCTGTCTACGTTATCTTCTCATTTATAAATAAAATCTTTATGCTCCCTATTTTTAATATTTCATGTTTAGATTATGAATTATGAGAATTTAGCTCTTATATCTGTCATACATATGTACGCCCACTCTCTCTCTGTCTCCTCTCCCATCATCATCCTAAAATGACTATATCACACTTTTTAGTTAAATCAGTAGTCAGTGTTTACTTTATTATGAAAATATAATCGCGTGGATACTACCTAGTTTATTCTGATATATATTTCTTTTATTATGTAATTCTTTTTTTCTCCTTTGTTGTCTGCTAGTTTTTTTAATCTATCTACCAATAATCCATGTGTAAACTCTACAACAGAAATATTAAACTCTTGGTACTCTTCTGTCATATCAGGTAATCTCTCAGTTCCTTTATTTTTTTTTTCTTGGTGACATATCTCCTAGAGCTCCTGGTCTTTCTGCCCTAACACAGACTGATCTGTGGATATTGTTCTGTAACTCCCCTTCCATTTTAGGAATTCTCTTCTGAGAAAGGGTGAATGGGATGTTGAAACCTTGCATATCAAAACTGCCTCTTTTTACTTGCACATTTGATTTCTGATTTGACTTATATAACATTCAGCTTCTGCTGTGTGACAAATCACCCCAAAATTTAGTGGCCTAAACCACATCCACTATGTAGTTCATGATTCTGTTACTGGTGTCAGCGAAGGCTCCCCTAGGCAGCTGCTGGTCAGCCAGGCCGCTGTGCTTGCTCGGGATGGCTGGCTGGCTGGCTGGCTGGCTGTCCCACGTGGCGGCGGAGGTGCCTGGGCTATCTGTGCCTTTCATCATCCAGGCTGGTCCAGGCTAGGCTGAGAAAGCAAAAGCATGCAAGGGCTCCTGATATTGTTAAAATATTAAGATTTCTTATTCATTAACACAAACTGTATGTCCTTTAAATTCAAGTGCCCTTTGATGTGTTTAATAGAATATTCTCATTTTTCTTACAGCTTTAGCACATCTTTTGTAAGATTTATTTCTAGCTACTTTACAGTGGTTTTTGGGGGGAGGGTTAATATAGATATTTTTCTCTTCTTTTTTTATAATTCATTACTATAGGTAGAGGAGAATGCTATTGACTTTGGTATTTTGATTTTTTTTCCCCAGCAACTGCACTGGTTTCTGAACTCTATAGTTAAATTTCAGTATTTCTCCCCCATCCTCTTTTTCTCCCTTTCTCTGTATTTTTCTTCCTTTCTCTGTCTTCTTCTCTTTCTCTCTTTGAATATAGATTATTGTATTCTCTGCACACAAAAAAACAGTTTGGTCTGTTCCTTTCCAACTCTTGTGCCTAATTTCTTTTCCTGTCTTATTGATTTAGGTAGGGCCTCAGGAAAGTATTGAATGAAAGTGTTCTTTTTTCCTAAACTTTTTATTACTTGGACGTCAGGCTTCCAGAATTGATACTCTCATTATCTTATATTTGCTGTATGATTGTTTTTTATCTCTTTTTCTAACTGTCTTGCTTTTAATAACAATTTCACTGATTTTTTTTTCATATTTGTGTTTGAAATTTTTATATTTTTCTTTTCTAAGAGCTCTGTGTACTCTGATTATTTCTCATAATAGCATGGGTGCCATTTTTGTCTTTCACTCTGCAGATTTTAAAGTTGTTTTTTTTTTTTAAGTTTTTTGCTCCCTCCTGAATTTTGTTTTTGCAAATTCCTTTTTGTCCTGGATGTTTATTTTTGATATTATTATTTGTTTTTCATGATATGGTTTTTCTGCAATGTTTGTTGATCTTTGTCTTTCATATTTAAGAATGAGACAGTGAAAACCAATGGGGAGCCTTTTGTGATGGCCAGGGCTTATAACAGGTGGGCTCCACTACGGGATGATAAGAACATACTGGCTTTTTTACTAGAGACACTTCTAACTGCCAGTGTCTGTAGGTTATTCCTATTGGCCTGTTTGATTTCCTCATTAAAAACCCTGCAAGCTTCATAAACCTTTTTTGCAAAGAGTATTTTATAATGTTCCTTTATTTTCCCAAAATGAAGTTCATAGAAATTATAACCTATCTACATAAGTAATCCCCCAAATCAATATAATGTCTTAATTATAATATGAAGTGGAAATGAAGGAAATGTATAATTCAGTGTATAAATGCTCAGAAATGACTACACTGGAAAACTTAATGAAGTAATTCGGATGCTTGTACTTATCGGTAGGATCACAAAATGTGATAGCTTCAACTATTACTGAATGATACTGTTTTTACTAATGCAGTTTTCCAAAGTAATGAACAAGTTTTCAACAGCAAAAAAGTAAAAATGTTTTTCCTTTAACAGGGCTGTGTTATTCCTGAGAAAGGAGGCTCCGATGATTATGAACAAGTTTTTCACTACATGATTATCTGTTAGAACATTTGAAATTATGCAGGACACAGGATAGACTCTCACGTTTTGGATTGTAGGGTGCCTAGTGTTCCCGGCCCAGGCCCCTGAATGCCAGGTTTGTCCTCCTCAGTCGTTATGATAACCAAAAATACCCCCAGAAAATTTTAAGTGTCTTGTGGAAACAGTATCACTTGCCTTGAGAACCAATTCTTTAGAAGAAAGGGAATATGCTGCAGTTGGAAAAATTGATTATGACCAGTCAGTGAACGAAACAACACTTGAGCAAGACCCAGAATAAGCACACAAGTTCACATTTATTCTTTTAAATTTACCTTTTTATACATCAGACATCACACAGAGCCCTGGATAGTCCTCCCTAAACTTTCTCCCAGCGTGGAGCTAATTACTATAGACTTAATTTGCATGTATTTTTCTTTATTAATACCATTACCCTAAAGTACCCAAACCACTGCCAAGGCAACTGGGCATTGATTTGTGCACTACAGCCTTGACCTAGGCTTTTACTCTGATCAGGGCAACTACTTTGTTCTTGCCTTTTCTCTCTCTCGTGGTTACAAGAAGGCAAGCCATTTCACCGTTCTGCCTGTTTTGTTTGTCAGTCTTTCTCTCCTCCCACAGCCCAAGGTCTGATTCCTCTTCAAGGTCTCTCTCTTGGCCTTTTAATATAATGCCTTTCTTTCATCCTGTATGGTAAAGCCTTCTCTGAACTTGCCAGTCTTATCCTCCCTCAGTACTTTGTGGCCCTTAGGTATACCAAGAAAGAAAAGCAAACAGAGGAATTCTACAGTTGATAATTCTAATATAAGGAAAATCAAGGTGAAATTGTTAGTGAGGCTCAGTTCCATTGCTTGCTGTTAAAAACCACCCTAAGAATCTCATCGACTTAGCACAGAAAAGATTATTGGTCTTTATACAAAATCCAGTGGAGATGCTCTTGGTCAAGGAAATTCATGGGCAACTTCCCTCTAAGCAGTGACCTAGGGATACAAGTTGTTTCATTGGTGTGGCTCTTTCCCCTTGGAGTTCTTTGCTTTCCTACGTGCAGTGGGAAAAGGGAAGGCACGGAAGATCTTACGGGATGTTATTGTAAAGCTGGGCCTGGACTTGGAACGGGATAACGCCATCCACCTGCCTTCGACCAGAGCACAGCTTAGCTCTATACCGAGGAAAGAGAGGACAGTGGTTACAGTACTGGTTAGCATTCCACTGCCAGTATCACTTTCTCTCGTTTCACAACTTAAACAACAAATATCTATTGAGCGCCTGCTGAGTACTCGCCACTCTTTTGATTCCTATGGTTGAGGAACTTAGCCTGTTAATGGAGTTTAAACAAGGAATTTTAAAAAGTATAGTCAATGCTATGATAGAGGTGTGTGTGTGTTATGAAAGCACAGATGAGGATACGTCTCATCCAAATGACAGCATTCAAAGGTAGTAAGTGATGTGGATAAAGAACTCTTGAAAAGTGCTTATGAATGCTGTGGTTTTGAGACAAACTGCCAGATACAACTCCATCACTTAATAACTTTACCGTCTGGTGTGACCACTTAGAGCTTTTTTCCCTTATCTGTAGAGTAGGCAAAATGTCTTGCTTGCTGACTTCACATAGTATTGTGGGCCTCAGACGAGATAATGACCGTGAATGAGCTTTGTACACATGACATAAATATAGACTAGCAAGGTAGTATTATAGAGTGGGATGAGCCTTGGATTTGGTGGGATAATACAGAAATGCTGGTATTATTAATTTTCTTTCTTTAGACTTCTGTGAGTCTATTCCTGTGTAATACCTGTGCTACTTACTTTATAAGATGTCATAAGTAAATGCAATAATGTTTATAACTGTTTCTTGAATATCGTAAATTCCTATTTGAATGTAAGGTGTTCTTCGTGATTAGTACTGCTTAATTATCCATAGCACTGGTTATTGAGATTAGGAGTAAAAATCTACCTACATTAATCTTGTTATGTGAAATTTATATTATAACTAATGACGTTGGAAAATGTGCTTTGTTTTATAGTGTATCTCAGTCTTATTTTCTAATGATTTGTGTTATGATGAGTTTCTACTATGGTATGGTTTAAGGTGCTGGGTTAGAAACTCTAGGAGGAAAGCGCTGCTCTTTCAAGCACATTTGAAGGTAAAGGTCATTAGAAGCCACATTGAGAATTACAAGTTTCAGTGCTGTCCTTATATATATTAAGATTTACTTTATAGATACTAATGAGGGAATACTAAAGTCAGCATTCTCATTCCAGGGAAAAATTCTGTATTTTCATAAAGAGAGTCTTTGAACATATTTTCCAAGCAACTTAGTTTCTCTCTTTGGTACTTCTCTTTTTTCTCCCACCACCTCCTTCCCCTCACTGCCCTGATTTTTAAATCTTCAGGCAAAGAACAGATGAGCACAAAAATATGTGTGGCTTAATTCAATATAAGAATTGTTTTAGTTTTTCCTACTAGCATTTGGTTTTAAGTATTCATGCTTGATGTTTCTTTGGTTTTAGGAAGGCTGGTTTCGGGTAGCTGAAAATATGGGATTTCAGTGCATAAAGATTGAGAGCAAAGATCCTCGGCTAGATGGGATAGACTCACTTTCTGGAACCGAAATTCCCCTGCACTACATCTGCAAGTTGGCCACGCATGCCATCCACTTGGTGGTCTTTCACGAGAGGAGTGGCAACTACCTCTGGCATGGCCATCTACGACTCAGAGGACACACCGACAAGAAATTTGTCCCTTTTCGAAAGTTACAATTTGGCCGTTATCCAGGAGCTTTTGACAGGTAAATTCAGGGTCTGAAGGGGAAATGTGAAACCTATATTGTCCAGTCATGAATTCTTACTCTTTTCTTTTTATATGTATATGAATAGTAATGAGAACTAATATGCAGTTCACATAACTCAGGTATGAGATATAAATATTCAACAGGAAGAAACTCAGGCACAGATGCACCGGGAAGTATATATAAGAATGTTCATAGCAACATTGTTCTTAATGCCCCCAAACCAAATGTTGTATATTCATACAATAAGTATTGTAGAGCAGAGAAAAGAATGAACTACCGCTCTGTGCAACAACAGAGACGACTCCTACAATGGAGGGGGCAAAAGCAAGGTATAAAATAATGCACATCTTATGCTGGTATTTATAAAGATATTCAAACACAGAATAAAGTATGTTCACAGACATAGATAGTGAAAATGGTCAAAATGTATGAGCTTCCAGTTATGAGAGAAATAAACTCTCAGAACATAATATACAGCCAGGTGTCTATAGATAACACTGCTGGATTGTATATTTGAAAGTTGCTAAGAGAATAGATCTTAAAAATTGATACCTGAGGTAATTGAAAATATGCTTGATGTTTAGCTATTTTGCTTATGTTGTATATTTTGAAGAGGCTGCCAGTACTACTCAGGGTTAAGTCCTTATAATAAATCTTAACTTTTGTTTTCAGGCCAGAATTACAACAAGTCACTGTTGATGGACTAGAAATTCTCATTCCAAAAGATCCAATGCACTTTCTAGAAGAAATACCACACTCTAGATTTATTGAGTGTAGGTATAAAGAAGCTCGAGCATTCTTTCAGGTTAGAGATAACCACATACTATAGTTTTTAAATTAAGTGTGTTTGTTTCTAATTTTTTTTTGTGGGGGATGAAGCAGATTATGGAAAATAGGTAGAAAACATTTTTGATTCATCTGTTTTCTTTTAATTGTTTAAGAAGTAGATTAAACATTAAGAGACTATTTAATATCGTTTGATATTTATGGAGACCCTGTGTTATTTGGGTAGACTTTGCTAGGTTTGGCACTGACCTCTGCTGTCAGCTAGGACAGCCCATAAACTCCAAAATGTGTTCTGTTCTTGAAGCGCTCCCATTAGGAGGAAGCCACTGCAGAAGAAGGATTGTGTGAAAAAATCTTAGAAAAAAGTTCATGGAAAATACAGAGGGTTTTTTAGAGGGTTGGCACTGAATATGAAATTTTTTGTTTATGAAGGTTTTTGAAGATAAATGCTACACAAACACCAGGTACTTTTGAACTTTACTTTATTCTGCTGCTCTGGCTTTCAATTCAGTAAACATTTATTGAGAGCCTGTTTCCCAGGACCTCTGCTGACCCTGGGGATATAAAGGTGATTTTGAAGGGCATGAAAGTTCAGCTGGAAGGGATGACACGGAACAGAAATACTGGGAGAACAGTGAAATTCCCAGTGGGGTTTCGGTGCCCTAATTCTCCCACCTGCCCTTTTTTTCTGGGGTTTTCCTTCTAAGAAAGCTGTGTGCACAAGGACCGGACCAGAATGGGAAAATGTGCCAGCTGTGCCATCACTGGTCAGGCGCCCAGCACAAGTGCAGTGTTTCTCTGATAGGCGGGGCTGGCCCCCAGTGCCTAGGCCGATGGTCCAAGCGAGCCTGCCTTCCCCTGTTCCCTTCATCGTGTGACTGCCGAGCTGGGAAACGTACCCAGTGAGCCTCATGGACGAAAAGCCGGAAAACCACGTGTGTGCATGGGCCTCCAGGAGGCAAGCGCCACGCATCCTCTCCCTGGCACAGAGAGGCGAGAAGTGGAAGAGATGGGGTCTGGTGCTCAGACTGGACCATTCCTTCTTTCTGCCTTAGGGGGTTTGTTCTGGCTGCCACCTCTGTCACAGGAATTATCACAGTGAATCGTGAATGTCTGTCTTGTGCCCCTAGTAGGTTATGTGAACTTCTTGATGGCAGGCATTTTACTCACCTCTGTAGCTCCAGTATCTAGCACGGTACCTGGCACAAAGAAAAGATCCTATAATCATGGCAAAACGCGTGGAAAATAAGGTGCTCATTGGAGTGAAATGATTTTTTTAGGGACATTTATTAGAGCTACTCATTACCTAGCAAGCATTTGCCCAGACTCACGTGTTGATCTTTGTGGGAAGGCAGCATAAATGTAAAATGTTTCAAACTATTGAGAAATTATGAAGATAGTGTCATATTTTTTAATTCCGTATTTTCGTTCTTTTGAGATTTGAAGAGCAAAAAAATCAGTATTTGAGTAAAGAGGATGGATGGCTGATGCTCAGAGGGCTTATTAGTTTATCACAGCCTAATAGTTTGATGTTTAAAGTACTGTCACATAGCAAGACTATAATGCTGTCTGGAGGTTTATATTCATAATGGGATCAGGTGGAATTTTGTATTCATCCTTCACCATGTTACCTCTGCCCTCCACTGCAGCCAGACTCTTGTGATTCCTGATTTTTTTTTCTTCTGCTAACATATTGCTGTTACTAATATAGGGTGTCTGTTGGGATTAATAACTTTTTAAAATTTTTATCCTCCTAAGTGTTTCATTCTTCATTTCTTATATTAGAACCATGATTAAAAATACTAGGAGGGTCCTTTATCAAATTAAAGTGAACATACATAACTTTGAGCACTTGAGGGCGCCAAACTCTTAAATACAATTCCTGGTGTAAAACAAGCACTGAACTAATGTAAAAATCTCACAAAGCAGCCTCCAAACTTTTTAAAAACAATAATGTATTTTGAAACATTCTCAAACTTTTAGAAAAGTTGAAAATATAATAGAAATAATGCCTTTTCCTGAACCATTGGGAGTAAGTTGTAGACTATATGCCCTGTAACTTTAATATTTCCTAAAAGCGAGAATATTCTTTTGTGATCTTAATACAAAAATTAGGAAGTTAACACACAGATTATTACCATTTAATCCCCACTCAAGTTTTTATAATTGTCCCAGTAATGACCTTTATAACAAAAGGATTTGGTTTAGCATCACATGTTGTTATTTAATTTCCTTGTCTCTTTAGTCTCCTTCAGCCTGGAACAGTTTCATGATACTTTTGAGGATTTTAGGCCAGATATTTTGTGAATGAATATTCCCCCCGTTTGGGGTTTGTCTGGTTTTTCATCTTAGGTTCAGGTTACCCGGCCTTACTAGGAATAACACAGACGTGATGCTGTGCCCTCCTCATTGCATCCTGTCAGGCGCGGCCTGGCTTTGGTTTGTCCCATTACTGTTGACATTCACATTGATCACTTGATTAAAGTGCTGTTAGCTAGCTTCACCCCTGGAAGATTTCTATTTTTTACCTTTGCAATTAATAGTATTTGGCATGAAGCTACTTTAAAACTTTGTAAATGTTGTCAATATCATCATCAAACCTTCCATTTAATTGTTTATATCAGTATGAACTCATGGTTTTCTGTTTTTTCAATTGTTTTCGCTATTTTGATCCTATAATTGTTCCATTTGGCCATTGGGAACCCCTTCATAATGGCTTCTGTGCCTTTTTGGCATGTCTCCATCATTTTTTGAGCACTTTCTTGCTTTTTGGCACAAGATATTCTAGGTTCATCTTGTCATTTCCCTGCTACAGCCCTGGAACCAGCCATTTCTCTGAGTACTGGTTTGTTTTAGAAGCCGACATCTGGATGCCAGCTGTGCTCATTGCTCTTTGGGTTTTGCCGCACACAGGTCCTCCCAGGAATAGAGAGAGAGAGAGAAAGAGAGAGAGAGTTATTTATTTCCATATCTATCTATCTATATCCATGAGTTCACATTGGTATCTCCAGTCTAATTAATATCCATTAAACAGCATATGGTTCATTTCCACATTGGTGATTCCCTTCTCAAACAGTGAGAAACCTGATTCCTATTATCCTTAATATATTTACTTATTTGTTGAATCGCCCGTCATTTCTGTTACCTGCTCTCCTGTGTGGATGCTGCCCTTACCCTGCGCAGGCTCTGACTCTCCACATGGAACAGCCCCTCCATGTGGACACCCTCATCGCTTGCTCCGGCTCTGATACTTGTACCAGGCCAGCACTGTGCACCTGCTTGCTCTGCCTCACCTAATGGCCCTAGTTCTGAATCGTTAAGGAGGAAGGTGGGACAGTCGGAGAAACGGAAGTGCTCTAAGGACTTACTTTGTTTTTATTTATTTCTCAATCTACGAAGAAGTTTAGAACTAAGGTAATATACATTTTTCCTGAATTTGATTTTATTAATGATCAAAGAACAATTAATGAGCTGCAGTCTGTTGAGTTCCAGTAAAAAAATAAGCAAGGAATATGGAAATATCCGGACACCTGGCCTAAGACTCCATCTTGCTGCAGATATGCTGGCAGCTCTCAGAATCAGCCTCCTTCTCCCCTCCTTGCCAGCCCACTGAACTGTGATGTGGAGGGGGAGGCGCTAAAGGTGCCAGTCTTACCCTGGTTCTGTTCCTTCCCCTTCAAACTTGTCTCCTAGAATCCACTCCTACAGACTACAAGATAAACGCATGACTAGCAGGGAACTCTGAAACTTCATTCTTATAACAGAAAAATATATGGGGCTCATTTTCAAATTTAATTTGGATGTCACAGAAGTGTTTCTAGGAACTTAGAAGTGGCTGTAATAGCTGACTGTTTATCATACCTGCAGCAGTACCTTGAGGATAGCACTGTGGACGCTATGGCCTTTCGGAAGAGTGCAAAGGAATTGCTGCAACTCGCAGCCAAAACTTTAAAGACATTGGGAGTACGGTTCTGGCTGAGCAGTGGAACTTGTCTAGGTAAAATTCTCGTTGCTTTACATTTGTCTTTCTGTCACTTTGTCCTCTTGGCTTTGGGGATGATTGCTTGAGATGACAAAACGTCAGTGATCGTTTAAGTGTCATATTAATAGTTAGGATAAACGTAGTGCATGGAGCAAGAATTTATTGATTTGTTTAAAGAAATTAATTTCAGAAACATAAAAGTGAGTTAGGAAGGCAATATTTGTGTTTACCAGAAATTGTAATTCATGTGTATAAAATGTACATTAGAACATGTGGACTGCATTGGATTGAGCTCAGGTAATCCTTAAACTAACATTTTATTATTTTTATCCCAAATTATTGCTGCACTTTTAACAAACTGTTCAACTTCTTTACTTACATATCATACAAACAACTTGCTTGGACCAAAAGTTTCTACCGAGAAGAAGACCGAAGGGCGTTCATAGGCCTTCACACCCCGTTCTCAGGCCCTCGACAGTATCGGTGATTGGGCATCCCTGCCTCACCATATCCTGTCCATTCCGAGATGGGGAAACGTAGTTTCTAGAGTCCTTAGGCAAGTGGTGGCTGTTAAAGTCTGGGGAAGATTTCTGGATCTCATTCCACTATGCGTTGGATCAAAGTTCTTTGGAATTTTGAATTTTTTAGAATCTTAAATTTTGTTATCTTTATTCCCTCTTATTTATAACTCTAGTTGGTTCTAACTGGGTTCTTTCTTGATTATAACTGTATTTGTATAGGAATTAATTCTGCTCCTGCTTTTATAGGATTACTATACAATTTATTTCTAATTCGAGACTTTTGAGAGTGAAAAGGAGACCCATTAGTAATTACGGTGAAAAATAGTTGTAACCTGGGATATTTGGTTATCCTACCTATTAGACTCTGTGGAAAATTCACGTGGTTCTTCCTGAGCTTACAGCTAGAGTAAGCCAAAACAAAAAACAAAAAAGAGTACCATGTTTTGCTGTGCATACTGTGCACTTTTTTGCCCAGATTTTTGAGGGAAAAATAAGGATGAGCATTACATATGGGTAGCACCTGAACTGCCTTGTATCTGTTCTTGTGTTTTTTGTGTGTAATTATTTGTTACATAAAATTCCTTGTATCATAATATGTTCAAAAATACTAAAATTCCTTTATAACACACACAAAAAAAGTATCTAAATATAAATAAATAAATAATTTAATTAAAAAATTAAAACGGAAGATTTTTTTTTCCCTGAAAGTTTGGATCAAAAATGTGGGTGCGCATTATACATGGAAGTGCATTATGCACGGCAAAATATGGTACCTCTCAACACACGTGATTATATATTTTAAGATTTAACATTTTGAAGCAAAATTGTTTCATTTTTATTATGACTCTGTCATCAGAAATACTTCTTGATCACTTGTCAGGGTTTGTTTTGAGTTTTTAGCCCATGTCTTTTTTCATTTAAGGGTATTTATAAAACGAGAGTGTTGGCTTAGATGATATATAAGAGCCTTCCATTTTGTTTTTTATCCTCACCCAGGGACATTTTTTTTTGCTTTTAGATAGAGATGAAGAGAAAGAGAGAGAGAGAGAAACATCAATTTGAGAGAGAAACATTGATTTGTTGCTTCTCGTACATTCCCTGACCGAGGATCACACCCGGAACATGGGCATGTGCCCTGACTGGGAATCAAACCTGTGACCTTTTGGTCTATAGGACGATGCTCCCACCAACTGAGCCACATCAGCCAGGCCAACAGCCCTGTTTTTAATAGCTTATGATTCTTTTACAGATGTGGATTGTAGATTTTTCTCAAAGCATAAGAGATACACCCTATCTTAGGCTTCTAAAGATTCATGTTAAAATAAAATGAAAGTCTAGAATTCCAAACAGTATTGCTAGATAGCAATACCTATGAAGATAACCTTAGACATTTATTTAGTTTTTTCATAATTTGGATGGAAATCTTTGAAGGATAATAAGGGAGACTAAGGAGCCCTTAGCAATACTAAGGTATAAATTTTGTTTTTTTAAGAATAGTACTATAGTACCTGATTGAGAATTAGATACATAGTAAATACCAGAAATATCTTTCAACAGTATGCTGAAAATTGAGGTTGATACTGCTCTTCTTTTTTATATGACCCATTAGACATGAGCTATTCAGAGCCGTTAAGTTCCTCAAATTATTACTCAGAAAAGGGATATTGTTTAAGCAAAATAATTAAATTATATATTTTTTAACATATCTTAAAAGCAGTCTTCATCCTTAAAGCTTTCTGATTAAACATTCTCAAAAGTAATTTTAATTTTTTTGTCTCATTTTATTTTTGACTAGGCTATTACAGTTGTCCCAATTTTCCTCCTTTGCTCCCCTCTACCCAGCACCCCCCGCTCCCTCCGGCAGTCCCTCCTCCTTTTTCATGTCCATGGGTCATGCATATAAGTTCTTTGGCTACTCCATTTCCTGTACTTGCCTTAACATTCCCCTGCCTATTCTGTACCTACCGTTTGTGCTCCTTAACCCTTTCACCTTGTTCCCCATTCCCCCAGACCACCATCCCCTCCCCGCTGGCCACCACCCCAGTGTCCTCCATATCTGAGATTCTGTTTCTGTTCTGCTTGTTGGCTTAGTCTGATTTTTAGATTCAATTATTGACAGTTATGTATTTATTGCCATTTTAATATGCATAGCTTTGATCTTCTTTTTCTTAAATAAGTTCCTTTAACGTTTCATATAATAATGATCTGGTGATGATGAACTGCTTTAGCTTCACCTGGTCTGGGAAGCACTTTATCTGCCCTTTGATTCTATAAGATATCTTTGCTGGATAGAGTAATCTAGGTTGTAGGTCTTTGCCTTTCATTACTTTGAATACTTCTTGCCAATCCCTTCTAGCCTGCAAAGTTTCTTTTGAGAAGTCAACTGACAGTCTTACGGGAACTCCTTTGTAGGTAATTATCTGCTTTTCTCTGGCTGCTTTTAAGATTCTCTTTATCTTTAACCTTTGGCATTTTCATTGTGATGTGTCTTGGTGTGGTCCTCTCTGCCTCCAGCTCGTTTGGGACTCTGCTTCCTGGACTTGTATATCTATTTCCTTCACTAAATTAGGAAAACTTTTATTTATTATTTTTTCAAAAAGGTTTCAAATGTCTTGCTTCATCTCGCCTCCTTCTGGCACCTATATGTTGCAAATATTGGAATACTTGATGTTGTCCCAGAAGTTCCTTACACTATGCTCAGTTTTTTGGATTCTTTTTTCTTCTTGCTCTACTGATTGGATATCTTTTTCCTCTTTATGTTCCCAATCATTGCTTTGATTCTCAGCTTCATCCACTCCACTGCTGATCCCCTGTAAATTGTTATTTCAATTAGTGTCTCCTTTATTTTCTGACTGGATAATTTTTATGCTCTTGAAGTATCCACTGAGTTCCTTGAGCATCCTTCTAACCAGTGTTTTGAACTCTACAACTGATAGATTATCTCCATTTTGTTTAAAACTCCAGTTCTTTTTTCTAGAGTTTTGTTCTGTTCTTTTATTTGGGCCATATTTCTTTGTCTCCTCATTCTGGCAAGCTCCCTGTGTTTGTTTCTATGTAGTAGGTAGAACTGCTTCGACTCCATATCTTGGTAGGGTGACCTAATGTAGTAGGTGTTCTGTAGGGTCCAGTGGCACAGCCTCCCTTACCCCCCAAGCTGGGTCCTTGATGTTCGCCCTCTGTGTGGGCTGAGTACTCTATCCTCTTGCAGATGAGCCTTGATTGATTTACCCAATTAAGACAGCTGGTAGAACTGCCTGTGACCCCTGCCTTGTGGAGAGGGTTGGGTAGGGGTGTCTAACGTGGTCTGGGACTGTCTGTTGGATATGCAGGCTCTGGGGTTTCCCAGGTGGTGCAGGCCAAGGTCAGCCTCCCCACCAGTATTCTTTCTGGGGCCCCTTGGCTTAAGCTATAAAGCAATCTGCAGATAGCTGCTGCTAGTGCCTGGCCTGGGGCCACTCAGTGAGAGGTAACGGGGGCTGGACTCAGTGTTGCATGCTGGGGTAGATTTAGGAAGGTCTGAAACCTGCACCTAGCCCAGCCCATCATATAGAAAAGCCACCGTTACCAGTTTGGGTGGGCCTGTAAGTTGGATGGGGCAGGCCCTTAGGTAATCATCATGGCAGGACCTACCATGTGAGTCAGGTGGATGGAGACTCAGATGTGGTGCCTTGCCCTGTGGCTTTGTGTGGGGAGGGCTCAGAAAAGGTACAATGGCCGCTGTCTGCAGCTCTGTCTGGGAGGAAGCTGTCCCCCAACTCTCACCCTGATGCCCGGCACTTCAGTTCTTCCCCGTATGCCACTGGTGCCATTCAAGGTCCTGCCCCAGTGCCAGAGGCCAGAGGGAGTGAGTCTGAGTAAGTCCGTGTGCAGGGCCCTCCTAGAGGAGAGACCTGAGAATCCCACAGTTTCTTCCGCCAACCCAGTTCCTACTGGTTTTGATAGCCAGAAGTTATGGGGACCTGTATTCCTGGCCCTGGAACTCTGGGCTGCGTGGTCTGGTGTGCGGCTGGGATCTCTCGCTCCTGAGACATTCCTTTGTTTATATCCACCGTAAGTGGGTTTGGAACCAGCCTGTTCCACATATCTGTGTCTCCACATCTCCGTCCCTTCATCCCTCCTACCTGTTCAGATGAATGTGGTTTCTTTAATTCCTTAGTTGTTGGACTTCCATACAGCTTTTTTTTTGATGGTTCTGAGTGCTATTTTTTCTGTAGTTTAGCTCTAATTTTAGCTGTAATTTTGCTGTGGTTATGTGAGGAGGTGAGCCACGTTTTCCTATGCCTCCATCTTGATCAAAAGTCTAATTTTCTTAAATGTATGGCCCACCTACATTATTAAAGCTAATAGTTTATTCAGAAATTAAAACACATTATGAAAATTTTTGAGGATGCTTAGTGCTCAGACCAGTAAAAGGAAGGAAGGGAGAAAAGAAAGAAAAAAGGAGGGAAGGAAGGGAGGGAGGGAGGGAGGAAGGGAGGGAAGGAAGGAAGGAAGGGGGGAAGGAGGAAAGGATCGGCTTTTTGAACAGATGGGTCCTATAACCACAAATTTAGTTTGGGATTTAATTTTTAAAATATAATTTTAGTAAAGCACTCTAACTCTAATCCTGTGAAATAAAATCCACTGTTACAAAGCCCTCTTTATCATAATGACTAATTTTTTCCAAACTTAAGTTTTTAAAGAAGTTTTATTATATTTTTTCTTTTTTTCTTTTTTTCAGGATGGTACCGGCAGTGCAGTATTATTTCTTATAGTAAAGATGTTGACATAGGAATTTTTATACAAGATTACAAATCTAATATTATTCCAGCATTTCAGGATGCAGGACTTCCACTCAAACACAAATTTGGGAAGGTCAGTAATAAAAATGTTTTACTTCATAAGTAACATGTCTCAAAAGTAAAGTTTGTATTAAACAACTCAGAAATGATCAAGAACGTTGCATGCATCATTTTTTCACTTGGTATTCCCAGGATGAATTCAGCAGAAGCTTGCTAGCACTTGTGACCTCTGCACTATTTAAAGAAAACTACAGTATCTGGCTTTCTATTAACAATGATAGAAAGACAGACCTTGGACTCTTGGAGATGAGTTTATTCTCATTATCTTAGGCAACAATATAATATAAAACTAATATAATATGTAATATACATTAATATAATAAATAGGAATCCCACCTACCCTACCTGAAGTTTTGTTGTTTCTCATGAGTCATTTAATTTTATGTTCACTCAGGCACCCTATCATTATCAACACGAGATATTTCATTGATTGCTAAGGATTAGAAATACAGACTCATTTCAAACAGTACGTGAATTTCTTGTTTATTTCATCTGTTCTAGGTCATAGCAATTTTCTCTGAGATCAGCCAGGAATAGGTCATCATGGCTTAGATGAAATCTCCTTTTAGACAATTTGATTCCTGTGCCCTAAGTCTATGATCCCTTGCAATCACCTTACTATTAATTTTCTTGTTCTCAGGATGGTATTGTCCTGGAAATCAAGTAGAAGTATGTGTAGTCACTGGAAGCTTATTTTCCTTATCATAAATATTCCAGTTTATTTTTTTTTAATTAATAAAATATTTTCCTGAAGTCCAAGCCAAAGCAGTAGAACTCTAGTCATTCAGCAAACATCAGTCACTCTCTCGTGCCCGTCACTGTCCTCTGCGCCCAGGACATAAAGATGAGTAAGTTACAGTCCTTACCTTAGAGGAGGTCACTAACTGGAAAGGGATAAAACTGCATAAATAATTATGCAGTTGATTCTGTAACAGACAGATGCACCAAGTGCAATGGGAACAGAAGTATTTGCAGGTTAAGTTTCTTTAGGAAAATATACTCAAAATTCTTTGTACCTTTAACTTTATTTTTTTCATGTACGTATTGTAATGATCTACGGTCTGTATATGGCTTCCTATAATACAACATTTACTTCAGTACTTATTTATTAAGTATAATGAAAAACTTCTTTCCTGACAGTTGTACTTGATTAAAGGAAGTAATTTGGCTTTGGTTCTTTTCTTTCTTTAGTCAGAAGGGGGCTCAGGAACAGGATGTTCTGCAGAGTGATAATTTAACCACTGTTAAGTCATTATCCTGAGTTGTCATCGTTTGTAAGAAGCAACATTATTTTATATGAATTTAATAAGAAAGAAATCAAATGATGACATGCTACTGAATTTCAGAGGTGCTCCAACTTGAAAAAAACATGTATCTTAAAATCAATACTCTATATAAAAGATTTTCTTTTTTTATTTAAAATATGTGTATTTCCTTTGTTTCAGTCTGTGAAGGCTTTCTTCTTCCCTTTAGGTAGAAGACAGCTTGGAACTATCTTTCCAGGGAAAAGATGATGTGAAACTTGACATTTTTTTCTTCTATGAAGAGACTGACCATATGTGGAATGGAGGCACTCAGGCTAAAACAGGAAAAAAATTTAAGTATGAATCAGATAAGTATTTATAAAAGGGGCAGTAGAAATAACTTCAGAGGTTGGAGAAAAAGAAAAAGACTCTGCAAGGCTCCATTATCCGCTAGCACTTTCTCAGCTTACCCTTAGAGCCCCGTTCCGTTTGCGAAGTGAGAACCACCTGCCCGGACCCTCTGCAGGAGGAAGTGTCCCTGGTTTGTCAGTCCAAAGGGTCCTTATGATTAGAAGCCCTTGAGTCATCAGAAAGATTAAACCAAAACAAGGAACACAAACCCAAGCCCAGAGCCTGAGCCAAAGCGCTGACTGGCAGTTAGAGCTGTAGGAGCTTGATGATTGGGTGGGAATGGCTAAAGGGCAGTGAGGAGATAAGTTACAGCGAAGGGGAGTTTAAGTGACGAAATTGGGGTTGAAGGGGGTGAGGCCCTGATTGCTGGGCGTTCTCTGACATGTGCCTTTAACATGGACTGAGAGCTGATCCTTAAAGGATGCTCATTGGGCTTAACAGCTACCATGTTTTGTCAAATATAAGATGATATACACTGTAAAATGCACCATTTGCGCCACTAAGAAAGGAAAAACTGCCAATTATAATCGTAAGACACATGACTCACAGATGGAAAAATTGGTGGTGGTGTCTCAGAACTGAAGGAATGCAGTATGTTAGATTGGCATTTGAAATATTTTTTTAATGCTGCCATAGTAAAACTCCTTGATGAGAAAAGACAAAAAAATAACGCCAGAGTAACTGTGCTTGTCCTTTATGATGCAGTTAGCCTACTCCCAGTTCTGAGAGAGAATGAATGGGATTGAGAACCCAAGGAGCGGGGGCTTTGGCGTCGGGCTGACCTGGGAGACCGCAGCTGCACCTAAGCAACGGGTGACCCGAAGCCTCCTAGGCATTAATCTCCTCTCCCAAACTGGGGTAGTACTGCTGTGAGTCAGGCACCTTATGCACACTTTACATTAGCACATCTAATCCTCGTAACAACCTTAAGAGGTAGATAATTCTGTTAGGCACTGAGAATTTATATAGTTTGTTCAAGATCACGTAGCAAATAAGTGAAGGAGTCAGATAGCAGGCTGTTTCTAGAATTTATAATTTTAATCACTACTTCCCACTCTCTTGCTAGAATACTTGACAGTCTGAGGCGCTTAGCATAGTGCTTAGTACTTATTAAGTAAATAGTTATCGCTGTTGTTACTTAATACTGTTACTATGCTTACTAATGTGATTGATATTGTTACTGTCATTACTAGGGTAGATATGTGACTAGGGGCATAAGTGTACCTCACCAAGAAGCTGAGATTGGTGCTTTGATCATTGAATATGTTGAGCCGTGGGCACAGAGGGGAATGGTCTATAACACGGAAGAGGAATTCCCCACTCAGCCTGGTTTCTCCTGCACACATTGACGTACTCCACTGGAACCGCTGAATCTTTATTTGAAGGCAAGGAGTCTTCATGTAAAGTTAAATTTGTTCTGGAGGTTTGAGAGTAATCCAAACCTTCTGCTCAAAGTGATAAAGCATCCCCAAGTTGACATTGACCCCGGAGCTTATTCTTGAAGTGTTTTCTTTAATATAAAAAATTATTTTGCTTTTTGACAACAGAAAGTTCCGCTTATAAGTTAATGAGTATATAATTGACACTCTCGTTGTGACTAGGTAAATGGGGGGTGTTAAGTCCCACAGTTTGTTATTCAAAGTATGGTAAAGATGCCACATTTCATGTGTAATTTAGAGGCGTTTTAAAAAAAGCTGTAAGAGCTATGGCCAGTGTGGTTCAGGTGGTTGGAACACAGTCCTGCACACCGAAAGGTTGCAGGTTCAATTCCCAGTTGGGGCATGTACTGGAGGGAACTGATCAGCATTTATCTCTCACATTGATGTTTCTCTCTCTTTCTTTCTCTCTCTAAAAATCAGTAAATCGGCCTTGGCCCAGTAACTCAATTGGTTGGAGCATCTTCCTGTACACCAGAAAGTTATGGGTTTGGTTTCCATTCAGGGCACATACCTAGGTTGTGATCCCTGGTTGAGGCACATATGGGAGGCGGCCAATTGATGTTTTCTTCTCTCTCTCTTTTCCTCTCTCTCTAAAATTAATAAACAGTTTTTAAAAAATTTTTAAGTCATTTTAAAAACAAAAAAACTATAAGTAAGTATAGCATAGAAATTAAAGGCCTGGGGCCAGTCTGCTTGTTTTTGAATCTCAGCTCTATATTTTACTAGCTATATTACCTTGGGTAAATTATTTAACTTCTCTGACCCTAAGGTTCCTCAAGTGTGAAATAGGAATAATAATAGAAATTGCCATAGAGCAGATTTAAAGGTTGAGTTAATATACGAAAAGGGTTTTGAATAGAATTAAGCATGTCCTGAGTTCTAAGTAATTATTAGCTACTATTATTAATACTAGTAGTAGTAGTAGTAGTAGTGGTGGTGGTAAAGAAAACTATTTCTCAGTCTTATGAGAAATTTAGAGATTAGAAACCTATATAATTATCTCAGTATTAAACTGCCAAATCTATTTTTACAGAACTCATATGAGAATGTCACCTTTTTCTAAGAAAGATGATTTGTAGAGCCAGTATCATAATCCTGTTATTCTTGAATTTTCTTTTAATACTTGAATTTCTTCTCACTTGACATCTGAAACCCACAAACCTCAAAAGAACTGTTCATTTCTAACCACTACATTTCTGAATAAAAAGAACTTCTTTCATTCTGCTTTAACTGCTCTTTATGGTAGCAGTGTTTGGGAAGTGGGAAGTGTTCTGACTATTTAACAAGAGAAATGAGCAGTGATAGAACTGTCTGGACAGATGGTGTGAGTCCCAGATTTTCTATCATGTTACCATGACCTTAAAAGGCAGAGAAAAGAACGGGATGTCTGCGTACAGTAGTTTCTTTGGAAGATTCCCCCAGCCATATGCCATTTTCATTCTTTTCAGCACTGTTTGCTTCAAAGAACTGTAGTATTTTCTAGAGGGGGAGGAGCCTTCAGAGCTAGTCTAAAGCTCTTTTTTTATCTTTATAATATTTCACTTTTTATTCCTGCATGGTTAATTCTGAGGAAAGCTTAACAGTATCCTAGAATGCTTACCATTTTTTTAAAAGGTTGGAGCAGAGCTCAGGAAGGAATAAAAAAGTTTTTCCTTTCAAAACTTTACTCTTGCCCTGACTGGTGAGGCTTACTTGGTTGGAGCGTCATCCCATATCTGAAGGGTTGTGGGTTCAATCCCAGGTCTCGGCACGTATAGGAGACAACTAATCGATGCTTCTTTGCATTGAGGTTTCACTCTCTCCCTTTCTCCCTTCTTCTTTCTAAAAAGCAATGAAAAAATGTCCCTGAGTGAGGACCAAAAAAAAAGAAACTTTACTCTTTGCCCTCAGAACTATGTTTTTGGTCCTAAGATTTAATAATAGTTATATTAACAGCATCAATAAAGATAGAGATACCATGGTATCAGCTAGATATTAGGCACTGTAATAGGTACTTTATAATCTCCAATCATCTTCACATTATCCCTATGGGTTATATGTTCTCACTCCCAGTTAAATATGAGGACACTGAAGCTCAGAGAAGTTGAGTAACTCACTCAAGGTCATCCTGCCATAGTGGCATGGCCAAGATTTAACTCCAGACCTGTTGGACTCTTAGACAAAACTGCTTTCTCCTAAGAGTTAATAGATTAAGTCAGCTAATGAATGTAATTTCATTTAGAACACTACATGACTAGTAAGTGCTATATAGATACTAGCTACTGCTGCTACTAGCATTGCTATTTATTATTACTATTATAACATTACTATTACTACTACTGCGTTGCTCCAATATAGCAGTAACTTGGTACAGGGGTTAGTTATTCCCTGGGCAAGCATTTTCTTTCCAGGTCTAATGTTTATTCCATCCTTAGCTTTTAGTCCATCACTCCTTTACCTGAATTCGTTCTTTTACCTAAAATTTAAATTCTCCTCCTAAATATTGTCTAGATTTTTTATATTTATTTTTGTTCTTCAATCACCATTAATAAAAGTAATGAAGTAATAATTATGCCTCTTGGATGTGAGTTTTTATTCCACAACTTCACAGTTCCTACAAATGCTGCCCGTATTTCCCTGAGGTACTTCTTTCCTTCCCATCTGAATCAACTGATGTAAGTAGAGGCCAGAAGTTTGAGGAGCAATACTAATGGTAATAATAATAATTAACTTTTATCAAGTATTTGCTATATGCTAAGCACTATGCCAAGCTTTATGTGCATCATCTCACTTAACCCTCACAACAAGTTTATAAGGGAGACTTTATCATTGTCACCTTTATTTTATGGACGAGGAAATTACAGCAGAGCTAAGACTCAGACCTAGGACCGTGTCACTTTAGAGCCTGCATTCTTATCAATTTACAGTGTTAGTGTCACCATGATCTGCATGATATTGCTAATGAGTAGGTCCTTGAAAAAATTCATTTTGTTCCATGTCATTTCATTATAGCATTCATGAGATGCTGTAGGAACAGAACTCTTGTTTATATCAATTAGCCACTGACAAAACTGTTTTTACATTTTATGTCTGCTTGAAGTTGCAGAGCCTCGCAATGAGGTTAAGTGAGGACTTCCTGTGCTCCCTCCCTGAAACTAGCACCTCTGTTTATTGGCATTGTCAGGGTAGTGCAGCCACCTTGGTGTCCTCTGACTGGACACCTGCTGCCCCCTGGGCTTGTGGTAGGCTCCTTATAGCTTCTGATACTTGCAGCTTTTGCTTATTATATATATCTTAAGAAATTTTGGATCTTTTCTCTCTGCGGCCAGACTCCCATCTAAGTGTGGCTCCAATATAACTTAATATTTAATTTTTGTAAAATGCATTAACTGCTATGTGCTGAAAATTCTGATGTGAGTATGACTTAGTTTCTTCTCCAGAGGGTCTCCTAATGTAGACCCTGAGACAAACACTGAAGTACTCTATCAGCAGTATGGGGATTGAAGTACAGTCAGATACTGTATAATG